AAGCCCCCCCCCTAGTTGCGCCCTTGTTTAGTCCCGAATCCTCTAATATTGTTTCGTAATTATATTAGCAATAGCATAGATGCAATTAGCTAAAATAATTAAGGGATTTTAAGATTTAGTTATATTTGTACTTAGTACCTACTAACTTGATATTATGGGAGAGGGGAAGGAAATGAGCCAAAGTAATCGCAATAGAAGTACTTAGTAAATAATAAGAAATAATATCAACAAGTACCTACAATATTATAAGTGTATGTAATAATTTACGAGGTTTGATAGAGACCGGACGGGGGTGCAGAGCGCTTGACAATGCCATCGATAACCGCGGTGGGTGGCCGACGGAGTATTGATTATTATGATGTTTATTGTTTACCGCGTATGGTCTCAGTGTTCACTCCCGCGAACACATCCGTTTGAAATCGTCTCGTGATGAGAGGGGGGGCCGGGGTGAAGAAATCCGCGGAAAACGCTACTCCGCATACCCCTTCCAGCCCCCCCGTCCGCGAGCTCCCGGGAGAAAAAAGTATCTGCCGCGCCGCCGTATTCAGCTCGCAACGATCGCGTTCCTGACCCGGGGACACCGCGCAGGAACCCAGGGGACGACGCGCAAGAATCCCGGGGACAACGCGCAAGAATCCCGGGGACATCGCGCAAGAATCCCGGGCAACTACTACCCTGCAGACCGACCGAACGGGCAACAGTGCGCAGGGTTACGGCGCACGGCGGTCCCTCTGACTCGCCCGCCGTTACCGTGAGTGCCACGATATACTCACACTCCTACGCACAGGTGTATCTACCTACGTATTCATCTTATTTATTTATTTATTACCGCTATGTCCCCTGATGGGGTATAATATTTTATTTGATCGTTAACAGTAACACTCATGTTGATACTATCGATAGGCGCGTGGGTCATTTTATTATTATGAAATCGGTGTGGCACATTATTGGTATGGCTAAACCGGGTCATGGCGAACCCACGGTGATGGTGGTAATTAATCAGACGCACACGAGTAAAACAAAGCCCGTTTCCAGGACGTGCGGTGACGGTGACCCGGGGGGTTCGTTGCTATCCGGGACAAGACATCCGACCCGGCCGACGGGTGCGTTAACCGTTTGCTGCGAGGTTACCGCCCCAGTATTCGTACGCCCGAGCGTGCAGTATAAATCGACGGGTCCCGGGTGGCGGCGCGGGTGTACCCGTGTGCGGGCCGGAGCGTACCCGTCGCGCTGCAGGTGTAAAAACTGCGGAGGGGTGGAGCCGAGCGAGCGAAAATCAACAGAACAATATAATAATATGTCTATTGCTCTCAGATAAATGCGCTGCAGCCGCCGCCCGCGCGCGCCTCAGACCGACCGTGCGTATTGATTATTACGTTTTCGAGAGCGCGGCGGCGCCGTTCCGGTGAGATCGCGGGCGTGTGCCCCTCCGATCCGCCGCCGCCGCCGCCGAGAACCGCGATACCTCTGGGCGGCCACGGTTACGCGGGAAACGGTGCTGCAGAAAAAAAAAAGAGTACTGCCGAGCTGCTGGTGGTGGCGCGGCGGGGTCACCCGGCAGGGACGGACTCGATACAGCGCACCGCCGTACCGGCGGCGCGCAGTGTCGCTCAGAACACTGCACGGATCAGACGTCGTCGCACCGTCGTGTCCCATTCTATATTCCTATATAATCACGGCAGCTTGCTTACGCAGTAACCGTAATTGACTTTCGCGCTTCGAAAATCTCGAAACTTGTCGTCATGGAACAGATGTTGCAAGGTCTGCCCAGAGTACGTATATTAAATGGATTTATATAATTTATTGTTATTATTCTATTGTAATACTTTTACAAATATTTTTCTCGATTATTTATTATTAAGTGTACACAAATAGCTATTTATACGGAATTTCGACCTATAATTAGATGCGTTATTATATTGTTATATTCGATAATATTATATGGTATAAATATTTCAAAACTAGGTGCACAGCGAATGATTCCATTTCGTAATCGTACTGTATTTTATAGGTACTGTGTGTGTACAACGGCCGTAATTTACAGAATAATAATATCTCATTAGGTGTATTATTATATTTAGTTGCAGGTATTTTGAGATTTGGGCGGTTGGGGGGGGGGGGGGGCGAGCAGGATGGGGGGATTTCGGATCCCACGTCTCTCCCCCCCCCCTCACTCGTGCAGAATCAACCATAGCCAAAACCTGACCTCCATCCCTGTTTGTTTTAATCATTTACTTAATTATTTTTCGTGATGCAGAATCTGTAACCCCCCCCCCCCCCCTTCTCCGTCCACCGAGTTTTAAATTTGAAATTGCATCTCTCCTCTGTACACAAATAGGTATCTACACTTTTATTAATATAACATTATATAGTGGTCGATTTTAATAGATCACTTAAGCCGCCGTTGATAAATTAAAGCAAGGCCGTTGCTTCCTTTATATATATGTGTTGGTGTGTATATATATATATATATATATATATATATATATAGATATAAATAATAAAAACGTTTTTTTTATTAAATTACCTACTGCATCAGCGGCAATGACGGGGATATGAAAATTAAAAAAAAAAAAAAAAATCGTCGACACAAAAGACACAACAAATTCGATTCAATTTAATTTGATTATATTGTGCGCGTTGGATTAAGTACCTTTATATTATATTACACGTTGTACAATATAATATTATAGTAACACTAAATTGTAAATGGGTTACACAGAATATGAAGAGGATGTATCTGAGTGAAGTGGTAAGTTGTTATTATTTTACAAATAAAAACTCGTCAAATAATATTCTGAAAAAAAAAATAATGTACTCCGTGTCCTGTTGACATACAACTGTAAAATTGGAATATCCTTCGAATTATATTTTAAGAATAATTATTTTTTGAACTAAAAAAATTAATTTAGCGCGTCTATAGTAATTAGGTAACCTACTTTACAAGTTTGGCTACAGATGGCGACACCATATGACCATCGTATTCGTTTTTAGGGAGGGGTCCTCCGGGAGTATTGTACCATCCCACCACCCATCCCGCCACCAGTGGCGCCGAAGTAGGTTAGGCCTAAACAAGCCCGATTAATATATTGTATAAATTATATTACATGATTCATAGTATTATTTTTTATATTTATATTTTCTACAAATACTACTCAAATTATGTACATTTTTCATCTTTGGCACCACCCACCGCCCATTCACCACCCACCTCCCATCCACCACCCACCGCCAACTCGCCACCCACCGCCCACCTACCGCCAACTCACCACCCACCGCCCACCTACCGCCAACTCACCACCTACCGCCAACTCACCACCCACCGCCTACCCACCACCAAAAAATTTGCTCCCATATTTTTCAGATGGTGGGATAGGGTGGTTGAACCCCGAAAACCCCTTCGCCGGAGCTCCTAATATTTTTAAAACATGACGTCATACCTATAAGTACCTATACAATGTTTACAAGAATCGAAATTGAAACCATATGTAAGTATAGATTAGGTTTTATCACCCTTATCCCATTGAAAATTATAAATAAAACTGAGTATTAATTTTGCAATTTAATCATAAAATTAACTTGATTTTTTGGATCCGACTTTTAAATTATCATATTCGGGTCAAGTATACAGCGGCGTATTCATAGGGATGGGGCGAGGTCAGAGCCCCTTCCTATGGACTTTTATTTGTGATCCAACTGCAGATGACGTGATAAATAGATGCACATTATATGAAATACAGTATTTTCTTAAACATATTTATATTAGGTATAATAATTTCGACTTGGAAATTATGGTTCAAATAAATATTTATAGACAAATTGGAATTAACTCAGAAAAAGTGTTGGATGAACTGGGTAAGAAAAAAAGGAAAATCGGTTTGATATTGTAAAATTTAATAAGGTCAATACTATTATTTTAATTTAAATTTTTTAATTGAACCCCCTCCCCCATAAAAAAAAAATGTTTTGGATATGCGCCTGTAAGTATAGGTAACCGAAGATGATTCTACGATTTATTCACGATTGCTATTTACCATATCCCGTCTCATTGAAAATATTCCACAGCTAATAGATAAATGAAATAGTTTTAAAACATTCGTTCTTAATCTGTTCCTGTAGATTTTATTTACTTATATATATATATATTTATAAAATTAGTATAATGGTAAATGCGTTCAACAAATATACTCCTGACACAATTTCTATAAAGAGGGACGCACACGTCATTCCTACTTACCCAATAAACGCGTAACCCTTATAACGTGTGTCCATGGTTACCGCACCACTTGTAGAGCATTTGCCTTTTGTTTTTTTCCCTCTACCAGCGGGAAGTTTCCACTTAACGAATTGTGTTTCGCAATACAAAATTCATATTAGAACCCGTAGTTCTTTACATTTTTTTGGGAAAGAAAAAAAAAAATAATTTTCATGTTACCGTTTTTAAACAAATATTTAGATGGTATATTTTATACGCCACGTCTCACAGTGAGCCAGAATTAGTTCAAAACGGGACAAAAATAAATAATTTGTTGTTTAAAAATAGATAATATGTTTATTAAACTTTGATAGTAGTGGGATAAACCGAAGTAGTCCATTACATGTTATCGCAAAATTAACGATTAATATACCGGGTAACAAGCTATAAATATACGCATTATTAATTTTCTGTTTTCTGATATCATTTGTACTCGTATATTACTCGTTTATACTATACATTTAGACATTAAACATTTTGGCATCATTGAATACATCGTTTAGTAAATATTAGCAATAATATTTTATTATTTTCTAAACATTTTTATGAAATATTCTGTATTATTAATGCTAGTTAACGTTATTGAAGTTCTAAATAAATCATAATTCACCAATTAATAGTAATTATATTTCACTATATAAATATAAAATGTATTAGTCTTATTTTTTTTGTTTTATATTAGATTAAATGTTGGGATAAAAAAACTTTATATTATGCTCGGGAAAATACTCTATCTTACAATGAAAGTCCCGTAGAAATTGGTTGAGCCGTTTCAGAGATAAGCTCAGACAGACAGACAAACGCTTTAATTTGATTCATATGTGTATAGACTGTATTAAAAAAAAAAAACTAATTTTTGATTTTGATTTTTAAATACCTACTTCTAAAACTTATATAAACCCAAATCAAATGAAATATACGCCAAGAAATATTTTTGTCCCTCTATGAACTCATTTTGGCCCACTGTACGTCAGTATAAAAACTCTTTATTTTCTTTAAATTATGCATTTATTTCGAATTTCGATTATTGATTTAACCGAAAAGTTTAAATAGTCTGACTACCCAACTATATTATATCTATATTATGAACGTTGTACAAGGTATACATTAATGTTTACAAGGTGATCAATTTATCGTAAGATTATAAGTCATTATCTTGGAAAATATTAACTTTTTTCGGAATTTATCTTGTAATAATAATAACTATTATTATTTATTTATTTCTCAGAAACAAGAATATTGGCCCCCAATGAGACTCTCGTGTGGGTGTAAGCCGTGGGGACCCAGGAGTTTAATCTATAACTTAAAAAATAAAGTTAAATATAAATTAGTTAACAATTTGTACAATCTAAAATATTAAACTAACAGCTATTGTAATAAATAAACTTTAAAAAGTTTAAATTATATTACATAATACTAAAAAAAAACTTCTAAACTTAGACATAGAAATAAATAATTACAATCTCTCAAACGTAATTGAAAGAGTTATAGAACACTTGAAAAACAAGCTGCTCAACAATTTTGCATTTATATTATTTTTTGTTATCTTTATTTTTGACGGTAAAACTATTATTGATTCACATTTCATTTTAAAATGTCAGCCTATATTAAACATCCGATAAATAGATGAAGTATTAGATAAAATACATTTTGGTGTTAACATCTTTGATTTCAGTCAATCTGTTGTAGATATTCCACTTTTAAGTTTGGGTTGGAGGAGAGTAGTGTCATTTATGTAACGGTACGGCCCGCGGCGATTTAATCATGCATAATTAATAGGTTTCAATTAGAAAGTCAATAGTGGGTAAAGGTTTTACCCCTGAAAATAAGGGTGACAAAAAATAACATAAACGTATAATTGTAGAGCTGATTTTTTTCTTAAATGTTCTCAAAACGAATTCCGAAAAAGTTAATACTTTCCGAGATAATGAGTGTCTTGCGATAGATTGATTACTCCGTGTATTATGTATTATTATAAGTTATAACGTATTTGTTATATTATTTTGCTATAAAAAAATTGCTTTTCCATAAATATGTTAGTAAATTTTTAAAGTTTAGAGAAAAATACCTATAATTATGCAGCAAGCTGTAATCGCAGTCGCTAATTGATCATTATTATTATGGCTAATTGACTGTACACTTTTTTTCTCAGACATTAAATAATTAAAAAGAAATCACAAATTTAATGAAAACAAAAAGTTAATACGTCAAAATGTTCAGAAGAATAAACTCTATAAAATGGCTTTCTTCAAATTTTTCAAAAATAATAAAATAAAAAGTTATTTGAAATATAAATATGTATTTATATATACATATACATGTATTTATTATTTATTTGTAATCTTTATCTCTGCAATATAAAAAAAAAAAGAAATTAAAAATCTTTATTATCCCCGGAGATATTATATTACTATAATGGCTATTCAGTATATCTCTAAGACGTACACATTTATAGGGGGAGCAAAATCCGCAGAGGAAGCAGCTGCATACTCTAAGCTGCTTATCCCGTAATAGTCATGCGTAGTACTAGCGTACTGCTTATTTATTTTAATAATAATCAGGGCTCGTAACTAACTAAAAAAAAAAGGTTGTTATAAGCGCAATGACGTCACTCTTAAAACCGCCAATGTAAAAAACTTAAATATACCCTATAAATATTAAAATAAATGTATACCTTATGTACACTTAGATGTCTCTAGGACCTGTCGAAACAAATATGCAAATGGTTTAGGTTACGAAACCTGATGTATATTATATTTTGAAGTCCTATTATAATTGATGAAAACAAAAAGTGAGCGTTAAATTTCGGGCATCGGGTAATGGAGGACTCAATGATAAAGTATTTTTTTTTTAAAACTGTCAAAATCGTTTTATTACGTTATCAGAAAAAACGTTATTAATAGATAGGGTACTATTATAATAATTATAACAATATTATTATAATATTCTATATTATAGGTTTCCATGTTATGATAATAAATACAACTGAAATTGTTTGTGCTCTAACAATATTATTATATTTAAATAATACAAATAAAAATAGTAAAAACCCATAATAATTATGTGAAATAAACATTCAGATAATGAATTTGACTGATATGTATAGGCATTAGGCAATGTGTTTTAGAATCTGTTTTATAAAAAGCGTTATCAAAATTATAATATTAATAAACTGCAGTGCGCTGTGTTTTAAATATTATATTTATTATTATAGTCTGGATTTATATTCTCTTAAAACACCTAATATATGATGCTATTATTCTCTAGAAAAAAACTACAAATATACTTTTATATTCTTTTGGACTACTAGAAGTATATTTATTTTTCTTTCACTTATTGTTCTAAATGTACAAAAATCCAATCTGAAATTACTACCCATCTTTAAATACAATGAATAAACAGTGAAACAATATTATTTAATTAATTAATGTTTTGTTTTCATCAGGAAATGCGCGTTATGCAAATCAAGGGAGGAAGAGCAAAGCGCGAATTGGCTGAATTGGAAGACAAGGAGCGCTACGCTGTAAGGAAGCTGATGGAGGCAAATATGAGGAAAAACAAGGAGAAAGAGGGTAAAAAACGATGAGTGGGAAGATATTATTGTCAAACACTTAAAACTTGACGAATGATGTTTTTAATTAAAGTCTATACCTACTTTAATATAATATATATACTATAAACATTTTTTTTTTATTGACTATGTTTGCTATTACTTTTTTAGGCGTTAATTAAAATATGTATTCTAAAGTTAACTACAGTAGTGTAATTTGGACATAATATAAGGGGTTGCAAAAATTATAAAAATAAATAATGTTTTAATACAGTCATATTATTAGTATAAAATACATTATAAATCTATATAATTCTTCTTATATAAGTACAAATTATTAAAAACTATGAATTAAATTCCATAATCTTATACAATTCGAATACAAAATTCAGAATTTTTAAATTGTGACTGTCTCACTGTCGTTCTCTATTTGAATGTATTTATAGTGATGACTTATAAATTTATTAATTATAAACATTTTTGTTTAAGTATTTTTTTACTTCTTAATACTTATCAACTAAAATATTCCATAACTTATATCAAATATATAATAATATTAAATCAAATAATATATATAAAAATAGGATGATAGAAAGTTTTAAATCTAAAACTAGATTTATTTTTATTTAATTTATAATACTGAAATAGTGAATTGTAAGTTATAATCAATAATATTTGTATTGAAGGAGTATTGATAATAATGTATTATAGTTTCAATTTTATCATTTCGAACATATATTTTTCATAATTAAATAATTATTTATTTAGGTACCTACCTATTTTAATTTTTGTTTTACTAAGGATAAACCATAAAAACAGAAATTTCATGGATTGAAAATTAATACTTTTGCGACCCCTTACAACTCCCCCCACATTACACCACTGGTTAACTATTTCACATTATTTTGTAGGTATTATGTATTTATATATTTCATTTGAGTTGATTATTTATGTATTGTCATGTATTTGTATAGCCATGTTAAAAGCGGCTCAAAACAGCTTGGATTGCTTGATACAAAAGCTTAACGAACGCAAGGCTAAGAGTGAAATGATGATGAAGAAAATTAATCGTCGTCGTGGTAACTCTTTGATGATGGATTTGCAGGATAGAGAGGCGGCCGAGTAAACTATATTATAAATTATTGTAGCCACCATTAATAGTTTATGTCAGCATATTATCAGTGTTGAATTCAGAGAATTTCTTTGGAGAAGGATTACTTTTTTATAGATCATTTTGATGTAAATACTAAATTGGAAAGAGTAACAAGTACTGTACATTTAATAAATACGTTTTGTTAACAGTTATTTTATTTGTCAAGGGGTTGAATGAAATTCTAAAGGAGGCATTTACCCCCACCCCTAGAGTATACCTGGATTCAACACTGCATATTATTATCATGAAAATCATTAACTTAATTATAATTCGCTTGGATAGATATTGTTTTTAAATTTAAATTTTAACCGATTTTTTGTTTAGAAACCATGCTGAGATTACAAGACGTATGATGGAAAAGATTCAAGAGCAAACTGAAATCGTGGAGGTATACTATTTATTTTATCTATACAATTTATGATCATTAATTTTGTGTACAGATATTTTCAAATACCTATTTATATATACCTACTCACAATGGAGTTTTAATTTACAGAAGCAAACTAGCATATTGAAACGCGCTCATGGCTCTAAGGATTCATCCAAGTACTATCGTTCCAGAATCAACAATTTGAAGGCAGAGATTGCTAACAAGCAAAATGAACTTGATTCTGTGTTGAATGTGTACAGTGGCGTGGGCAAAGTGTAAGTAGAAATAATAATGTTTTATTATTGAAATACCCATATTGTTAAAAAAAACAAAATAAATAATTGTACGTGTGACTAATATTCAAGAATAAAAAAAAAACAGTAGTACATTTATAGAATTTTAAAAACACATTTAGTGAACAAAAGTATCCACTACTTGCTCCTTTTTTTTTTAAGATTTATTTAAACTTTCTTAGATAAACAAGTTTCCACACCCACTTCCTCGAAAGTTTACATTATTTACTTGATAACCCATCTATGGAGACTAAGCAACTGAAAATTTACATTTTATCTACCTGCTTTGTAAATAATATGCACACATGTAATATGTATTCTTAAAGGGTATCCAGAGATTTGACCATAAATCTATAACAAAAAAATTTACAATCTTAAATATATTTTAAAATTTTTTTCTTACACACAAAGATAATAACATAAAAGTCATAAATCATTTTTTTTTTTTTTTTAATATTTAAAAGTACAACTTTTTTTAAATAATGTGATATGGATTTTATATTTTCAAATCTGGAATTTTTTCGTTTTTATATTTTTTAATTTCATTAAGAATAACATTCTTTCAAATTAAAGTTCATTTTCTCGCTTTTACTGTACCTACACTTCTAATTTTAATTTAAGCCATAGCCATTGTTGAAAACCCTGATAATTCTACATCATTTAAATGTTGTATAATTGAATACCTTTTGATAAGGCACTGAGTCGCTTTTACTAAAGTATTATAAAATATATTATACTCATATATTCATTTTTTTAAAAGGCCCATTGTGGCCTGATTCCTGGGCACTCAATAATTATACTCTAGGCTAAGTTTTTATTAATTATTTATAATAAAATTATAAATAATCCACATTATTATGGTCATAGTTTTTATATTTTTCATAATATTTAGGACACTAGTGTTATAAATTAATACCTATATAATTTAATTTTAGTTGCCAAGAAATGAAGAAGGAGAAGGATGAAAAGACATCAGCTCGTGTCGAAATGCAAGGAAAAGCTGCTGCAGTGTCATCCGACATTGGTGCATTGACTGAGGACATTAAGAAGTTGCAAACTATTGAGTGAATCACTCATGGAAAACCCAAATATTCTTCAAGACATTTCTTTTCCTTTTTTAAACATTTCTATATGACTATAAGAGTCGATTTCCCTATTTAATTTATATTATATTCTATACTAAATAGAAAAATTTTTAAACATTTTACTTATCTTCCTTTACTACAGATTAATATTATATTCTGGAACTACTTGCCAAATTTATTCTATATATTAATTAAATAAAATAAACTATACTCTCTCTCATTTCATTTATATGGTGTTTATTTTAAAAATGTAGCCTAAATAGGTAATATATTCAGTCCCAGGGAAGAAAAATTTGAGTTAATTGTTAGAGTTTTTATAATTTTATTGTATTTTATTTTTTTTCCTGTAAGCAAGATGTACATCTAAATTCCGTCAAATTCGTATTTCTTAAAAAGCATAGTTCTGCTTCATATGTAAAATTCATACTGGTTAACTGAAGATATTTATTTTAATTAGTGGTATTGAAATTTAAGTAGGTATATAAATTGAATACATTTTGAAAAAAAGAATGAAAAATGTCCGTTATTTACTAGGTACTAAACTACTAAGCGTATATTTTGTTTATATTTACCATTATCAACAATTCAATCGGCTTTAATAATATTAAACAATTTTATCATTTGGTATAAAATCTGCTAAATTATTTTAAAAATGCAGACGTGCCAATGATGTTCAAATAAAATAAACAAAAAAATTAAATATTAATATTGGAAACAATATAAATGAGACAATCTCATACACTTTTTTTGAAATGTTTATTATTATAGAGATTAGAGTTGTTTTTTTTTAAAAAAAGTTTAAAATATGGTTTTTTGAACTTCTGATAATAAGATGAATATTGAAGTTGTTTCTAAAAATATTTTGCATCAACAATATAATGATTTAAATCACTTTTTTTAAGTGAATATCATTAATTTTGAGTGATACGTTATCTTTTTTAAAATCCTCTTTAAAATTGCCTACACAAAACCCCTTAAATTAGTATTGATCGTGTCACGCATCCGATTTGAAATATTTAAAATTTCGAATCAACTGGATTCTTTATTTTTTTTTTTAAAAAAAAAAAATTCTACCCGCGATATTCTATAAGTGGCGGCTCGTGGGCAGGTACAAGCGCACCACATGCCATTTTGTCAAAATAATATTTTTTTTATTACCTAATCGTTATAAATTATTCATTTAGAATGTCTTGATACTATTAAAAAAAAATTATTCAAAAATATTTTTTAGTAAAGAACTATTATATCGTGAATAATAATAAAAAAATCTTTTTACACTAACAAGACAACATTTTCTACTGAAAACCACTCTTGAAGTTGATGCAAAGCGTAAACTATTTTTAGAAATGTATGACATAGGTATATATAATATTATCATAGTAAAATTAGCTCTAATCACTTAGTGCTTAAAATTTATTTGGTAAGTAAACCATTTACTGTGAACATCGCGTTGACTTTATCTCTTAAACTAATTTTATTCTTAAGCTTTATTATTTCAACTAAAATTAAATTATCTAGTTCAATAAAATAGAGCTTGAAATTATTTTTGTATTAAAACCTAAATGTAACAATACAATTATTTAACTCAATTTTTATTTATATACACATAATACATTATTACTAAAAATATAGTATTATGGGTTCAAATTAAAATGCTGAAATCAAGCATAATGAGAAAAATTTGATTGGTACATATTTTATTGAGTGGCCTGGATACATTTCAATCTCCCGGCCTGAATTTTGTTCTAACTCTGACCCTGTATAGTGTATGTCACATAAATTTAAGACTGCTATAAGTATACACTAAAAAACCTATTTAGAACTAAAAACATAAAAATGAATGTATTCAAAATCAGGTTTTAATATGATATTGACATATAATATTTAGCTGAATGAAAAATACGACCCTGATTAATCTAATGGACTTATAATACGATGTTGAACAAAATTGGACATACAAATTTCGGCCTCTTATCGATATATCTTTTCACCATGTATTAAAAAAAAATCGAATGTACTATTAGAGAATAGCAATTATTTAGTACTGGCATAATGTTATGATGGTATCGTTATCATGTGGGATTAAAACTATTAGGAATAGTAATTTTAGGGAAATAAAAAATTACACCTATGGAAAATATCTATTAAACAAGATGATAAAATACTGAAACCGTATTTCCAGAAATATTGTATTTAGGTACCTATTAAGATATTATTTAGGTATATTATCAAGTAATGTTATCCTCGTTCTATTCAGTTTATTAGTATAAACTAGTGGAATACATTGTCTATGCATATTTTTCAAAAAAAGCCCCTTAATGAAGGTGAGTGTTATGATATGGTTATTAGTGGGCTGTTATATAGTATAATATTATATATTTATACCGCCTAAAATAGTTCATCCGATAAAATGTTATGAAATAAATACACAGTATTATCTCGGCAGCGGAGCCAGGATTTTTTTTGTTGGGGAGGGGGGTGTGTTTTTATTTTGTGTTCAGATGTAACTTATTTGTAACTTCATTGTGCACATATAATATAATATAAATTATGCTCAGTCTGGAAATCTAATGCATAACTGTATATAGTATAAATTATAATTTTCGGCATAAGTATGGTCAAAGGAGGGTGTTTGAACACCAAAACTCCTCCCTCGCTATGCCACTGTATTATCTACCTAACCTATATAATTTAAGAGTGGTACCAATTTAATAACAATAATTCCTAAAAGTATTGTTTTGGTAATTTATTTCCTTAATTAATATTTTCGTGAATTGTGTGCTTTTACTAGAAATATTTTTCCTATTAATATGGCATGTTAGTGACCAACGATTCGTGCTTGGATACGACCGAAATGGATGTCAGTGCTCATTACAGATATTAGATGTGGAAAACAGATACGACAGCGACCTAGTTACCGGGGTCGCACTGAACTCACAACGCATATAAAAGGAACTCAAACACGGTGTACCAACATACTTCCCTGACGTAGAGGACTACCACGATCAAATAAGTGGTTTCTACAAGGTGAGACCTGCCCATTGCTCATAGGGTGGGCTGCCCTTGCGAGTATTTCTAATGTATATACCTCGAACGAGTCGAGTCGGACGCATAATTTTTTATAGCCGGGACTCTGTTCGTGCAGTCATAGTCATATTACCTACATAAATAAATTCTCCTTTCCCAGTCACTTTGATATATCGATTTTATTGAACAAACGATCTTAACTTCCAAGTTTTCTATTGCTTTGCTTTCAATTGTAATAAATTGTGTCGATTTTCCGTCTCGTTGTTGATTGTGTTCATACCATTTTCGAAATGACGATTTCGAGCGTGCAAACGAGGAATTAGACAGACATAAAAATACCACACGACTCGTGTACCCACTTGGTGAGTGTATACTTGTCATACTTGTGATGTTTCAATGTTTGTGCTACTTATTACAATAATATTATGTTACTCCTCAAAGCCGGACTACGTAGGGTTTGACTCAACATTCTAGTTTTAAAACTTCGATTTAGATAATGATTTTTTTTTTTTTGCCTTTTAATTACTGATCAAATTTTACTTAAATATGAGTAATAGACTCTCTCTTATTGTTTTCAATAGTCCAAAAATGTTTTAAGCATCGGCTCACAATCTAACTTAGAATAACGGCTAACTGGGTCAGTCCGGCCCTGTCTCACTCTTACACGACTATAGACATATTAATAATATATCTATGTAGGTACACGACTCGTGTACTCGCCGATCGTATCCAATCGTTTTGGGTAAATCCCATTATTATCCGAAATAAAAGTTCAGCAAGAGTCATAGTCTTTCGTGTTGTATCAGACATCGACCGGGAACCGTGAGCGACTTGGAAAATAAAAAAAAATAATAATAATCGTCATGTTTTACGATTAAATGCCTACCACACGCAGTGGCGTGCTTAGGAATTTTCGATGAGCAGCGATGTGGCAAATTAGAATCATAAAATCGTCGTCTCAACTCAACTATAGGAATTGGTAACTTTAAAGCAGGATCCTAAAAATACCAAACTTCTAATCAATACATCATGCTTTTCTTCATAACTTGGCTGAAATATATGTATTTCAATATTAAATTTCTGTCATTTTTTTGTATTTTTAAGCCAGTAGGGGGATATAACCTCTAATTTCTACTCCTCTCCCTGTATACACCACTGACCACACAACTCGCAAAATATGATTGACGAAAATTAGACTGGCTGTAGGAATTTAATTTGAAAATACCTTCCTTTAGTGCATGAATAACCTACCTATTAATATAAGCAACTTTTAAGTAAATAGTGCATTGCTTGAGTGATGATTTTGGCTTTGCTTTAGACTGAGAAAGAATTGTGATTTATTTATATATTTACTTATAAATAGATCTTTGTAAATATAAAAGTACCTAATATACTACAAAAAAAATAGTTATTATTTTTATATTATATTTTTATTTTTATTAAATAATTTATAAATTAATAATTTATGGTCACTAACCATGAGGCATTGTTTTAAAGACAACACATACATTATACATTAGTAAAATAGTTAAATGATCAGACAATTGGTAGTTTATTATTGATTAGATTTTGTGTTATTTATTACTAAAAAAAATTTTAAAATATGTAGTTATTTAGCTAATCTAATATAATAACATCTAGACAACAGTATTCAATATATATTTTAAACATACAGTCTAAAAATGTATATAATAAAAAGCATTTTAAGATGTTAAACTAAATATTTAGTTGTAGAATCATTTATTTTTTAACTCATTGTATTACCATATTAGTTCTTCTAAAAATATGCAATTTATATAATATGATAAAACATAATTAATTAATATATAACAAATTTAATTCAAAATTAAGTTACATTATATATATTTTTACCAACTTTTTAAAATTAGAATATAATTAGTAAGTGCCTTTAATAGTTTTACATAATTTGATTAGCTATCTATTTTTAATGTCGTTTTATTACAAATAATATTTTTATTGCAGAAAATTACAAACTATTATAAAATAATAGCTTTAGTTGGGATCTAAAATCCTTCAATTTAACAAAATGTTCAATAACCATTTTATTGTAGAATAAGTAAATAGTGTTAGTAAATTAACATTTAGATAGATTATTTAGAGAATTGTTTTATTTTAAAAGTATTGATCATTCAAAATATTAGTTTTATAAATAATTTATAAAATAGTTGTCATAACCTGTAATCTATAAGACTAGGTTGAATTATATATCTTATTTAGCAAATTTATTTAAATCAAATAATAATAATTATTATTAAAAAAAAAGAATGGAAATACTGTCTTAGGATAATGGGGATGGGTGCTGCTACTGTTGTAGGTGGGAAGTTGGGAAGGTAGGCTACAGAAAGGAATTTAATTTATATCTGTAAGCAACAATAATCCATTGCTAATGAAAAACGATTCTGAGCAAAGTTCAGTTGATAGTGTGGCTTTGTCAACAATAAATAATGTATGGTGTTATGTAATATTATGGTAAAATGATTCAAACAATGTCCATAACAACGATTATTTAAAAAAAATAAAAAAAATAAAAAGGTTGTTAATGACCTTATTTTTAATCTTTCAATCTTTTTTCACCAAAAAATCAAGGTTTTCCTCATTACCTTGAATATTGATGAGAATTTCATAAAATTACCTGTATAAAGTACCAATCGGAGAAAATTTCCATTCAGGAAAGGTGCTATACTTGATAATCAGAGTATGCTTTCTGGTAGTGTTCACATAAAAAAAAAACATCATTGTAAAACCAATACATTTCTCATTCCACTCAGAATCTAAAACTTATTCAAAACTGTTGACAAATTTGAAATTATAACACTTTAAACTTGGTCCTACTTAATTTTTTAAACTCTATTTTATTTTAATTGTACATATATTATGAAACATTTAACTCCCTATATTCAATATAAGCAATGTTTACCTATTTAGTTATTTTAAATATAAATTGGAACCCAGTAATTATTTGAAACTCATTAAAATGTAATGTTTACTTTAAACACTATTAAATTAACTTATAACGATCAGTGAATATTTGATGCAACTAAACATTAATAATATTCTTTTTAAATTAAAAATAGAGCTATTTTGACCAATTTTTTGTCATGTTATTTTTTATATTCAAGTATAATATAATTTACTAATAATTATAATTATATAACATGTTAATAACTAAATAACAATAGTAGTAATGGGTCAAACACTGATTTTTGAACTGAACTTTTACATTTTTCAGTCAAACTCAACTCAAACTTGAATGTTTTTCCATGTATTATATAGATATAAAATGTAAATCAACCATAATTACAATCACTTTTTATTTTTAAGTCTTGTTAAGTTGATTTGTATAACACTGTAACAATTTATAGATGTAATTGAATGAACTGACAAAATACATTATAGAAATTCAATGTATGTGTATAACATATTTTTATTGTTTTTAACAAGATAATGGACTGGTGGAATATTGCTATTTATGGGTTTTTCTAAATTAAAAATATATTTTTCATGACAATACTCATTGTTGAAATATACAAGGTTCTTACATATAATATACCCCTTAACAATAAAATATTTAAAGATAAAACAAAAATAGTAGAGCTAATTGAATTTGAATTTTGAATAGTCAGTTCAGCAAATATTTTCAAGTTCGATTTTTTAACTGTAGATACTAAATAGTTCGGTTCGAAATTTTATTATGGCAGGTTCGAATTTCAAACAGAACTAAAATCTAGGGTTCAGTTCTGTTCGAGATTTAAACAGTTTGACTCATCACTAAACAATAGACATTAGATATTAATTTTAAATTTTATAAATATCGTTAAAATACATAAATTGTATTAAAAAAAGTTAACAAAAATGTAACAAAAGCTAATAGGTAATTTGTTAATGAACTATCTTATGCCATAATAACTTCAATGGTAATAGGTTATTCCGTTCTTGTAGTTTTTCATCAAACACATTGAAATTTGTTTTCTGAAGCCTGTTCAAGTATAGCTGAAGAGGAACAGAAGGTAAAACTATTGATTTAATTTGTCGATCTACATCCTTCTCCAATTTTTTGGCCTAAAGTACATGTATCAGTTTATCATACTATAGTATTTATTTTCTTGTGCTGCAAACTCAAATTTTAATAAAAATTCAAAATTACTTTTGTTAAATGTGAATTAGCTCTAGAAGCCATTTCAAAAATTGCATCACGTACATTTTGTTCATTAGATTTTCTAATGATATTTTCAGAGGACACTTTATTTTTCAATAAAATATCTTGTGGTATTAATATGTGCCCTGATTTAGTATTATAAGGTATGCTTCTAATAATGTTCACAATTCCTTGACACTTTCCTAAATGACTAACAGCATGATCAACTTTTATGTCCTTAATTCCTGTAATTTTATACCAGTACATTTATAAACATAATTGTTTAATTTAAAACAAAAAACAAAGAACTAAATATAGAATTAAGATTAATAGCTTGAAAACTCAATTAAAATTGTATCTTTTCATGATACAAAGTATCATGAAGCATCCAAAGTATTGGAAAAAAAGTTAGGAAACTTATAACAAAAGTGGAAATGTAACTTTTGTTCAAATATATGAATAATTCAAAGTAAATTCTGGTTTTCTTGAAAATCTCGTGGTTATTCACTAATATTCACCAAATATATTTCTTATAATCTCTTCGTTATTTTATTATTTTCGATAGGTATAAAATTATTATTGTAAGCATTTTATTTTTTAATTTTCTCCCTTATTCTATTTTAACTTTTCAAAAGTCGACTGTAATTTTATTTTATTTGGTCGATTGTAAAGTTCTTGTAATAAGTGTGCCTAGTTTTAAAAATACAAGTCTTAGGCGAGAAAATAGTATTGAAAAAATGAAATTAAGTTCAATGAAGCAGAAAATAATTTCTGATTTCCTTAAAAAATAATAATCTTTTATACTAATAATTTTATATTTACATTTTGAAATGGATAATACTGTAATAACGCCTAATTTATTGAAATATTTAATAATTATAATAAAAAAATTTTTTTTTTCTTTCTCGATATTTCGAACTACTTAGCAATTCAAACTCTTGGTAATTCAGTAATATTGCAAGTTGACTGAACAAGTCATGTTTTATGACAAAAATATGGTAAACATAATATATACAATGTACATTCCAACGCTAAGAATATATGTATATATAACAAAAAAAAACAATTAAAACTGATCAATAAAGGGAATCAGTTTATATTCTTTTATAATCCACTTATAAAGCCACTTAAAAATGTCAAAAATACCCAAAAAAGCACTTAAAACCATTTAGAAAGTAAAAATGATAGAGATAGGTGTAAAAGTCTTCCTCTAATGGAGCTAACTTATTAAATTAAATTTCTTAACACTACAAAACTGATTACACAATATAATGACTTATAAATAAATTGTATGATGTTATTGTAAAAAAAAAATTACTTTTTATTAATCAGTTTTGTGGTGTTAAAAAATTGTATTTAAAATTTAAATTCATTAGAATGGTATTTTTAAAAGCCTCTATTATTTTTGATTTTTTAAATATATTTTAAATGCTTTTTTTATGGATTTTAAGAACATATAAATCTGGTCTCTACTGATCACAAATACAAACCTAATGATTCTAGAAGTAAATAATATATTGGGGAAACAGAGTTTTCAGCATAGGTATCCATATCTTCTGTTGTTTTAAATGAAGAATTTAACATATAATTTTCTCGTGATTTAATTAAACGCTTCAAATATGGTAAACTTAATTTTTGTGTTTTCGCTGCCTATAATAATTATTGGTGTTAAAAATGTACATAATTTACTGACTAAATACTAAATACTGACTATATAAAGTTCGATGAGCACAGGATGTTTAGGAATTTTATCTTTACATAATATTTCAATAAGTGATGATTCCCAAAATTTAAACCGCATTTCTCCAATTTTACTATCGCTTATTTGATCTTGAATAGTGGCTACTTCAATATTAAATGCTCTAACAGCAAAACCTGTTCGTCGAATAGTTTTGTGTAATAATAAAGTACATAAATAGTTTTCAAAATCATGTTTTCTGTAAATGTAATAAAAAAAAAACAATTTCATTAATTTAAAAAAATGATTAATATTTTGAATAATTTATACTATTATATTTATCTAAATAAATTAACAAATGAATATATTATTTCAGAACCACTCATCTACAAAATAATACTTTAATATACATATTTGTTTTAAGAACCTATTGTTTGAATTTGTAAAAGTTAAAACACATAGGGTACTTGTCTAATATGATACAACATACCAAAAAAATTTAGTCTAACTACCTGGAAATATGTACCTACACCAATAAAGGACCAATCTAATATGGAACCCTAGAAAAAAGACCAACAGAAAATAAGAATAAACATTATAAATTAGTAATTTTAATTATGATTATTAATCATTGGTGACACTATGTATTAAAGCTTTCAGTAGATTGACATCAGATTGGCTTTCAACATGTTATGTTCTGTTGTCAGTTTTTAGAATACTAATCTTTAAGATTCTAGGATAATTTGTTATTCTTTGTTCAAGATTTTCAAGTAAAATCATTTTTTCCCTTGTATTTGGTTATATAAGAATACGATTCAAAGCCTATCATCTTATCACTATTATTGAATTTAAAAATTTCCATATAAGTAAAATTTATTTGATGTCAACAGATGTTCATTAAAATAAAAACACAATAAACTTTACTAAACTTTTCACATATAACTGTGACTATCAACAGACTAAATTTTATTCACTCAAACGAATAAAATAACAGTAAAATTGACTACTACTTTTCACGAATTACTGAAGTTATGGATATACATTTGAACTTTTTCAAATTTTAAGTTATTTTTTACTGTAACCCTGATTTATAGTTGAAATGTATAAAACTTCTATCAGATGATATAGAAACTGGAAACCCTATCATGACCTTCTAAAAGACTGTGATATACTCTGGGTGATTATTATAAATTACAGTGTAATACAGTGTTTATGACTAATAATCATAATTGTAAATTAATAATTTAAAGATTTTAAATTTTTGTTTTTTTTATTCCCTAGTCTAATTATCTAAGTTTTTTCCCTACCTCTAATATAGTGTGCCTACTGACTTACCTAAACATTATATTATATTACACATAAAATACATATTACATTTTTCCTGCATACAAATATATATCCATTGTCAGTTTACTGATACATTAACTATTCAGCAATAAATAACTTATATTGTATAAAAGCAATAAGATAGATAGATAGATTGCCACATTCTTCAATTAAAATATTTCATGATTGTTTTCCATAAAAAATTGGGAAGGACTATAAAATAAACTAAAAAAAAAGAATACCTACATCTCCATATGTGATTTAAGCATTTTGATTGTACCCAAAGGCTTACTTCAATCTATATTTTTCCTATTATATACCAGACATGGTTTTGCATAAAAAATGAAGTATTTTTTAGTTAAAAACAGTCAGAGTGTGCTGTAGCAAAATTAATAACATAATAATGAAAAAATTTACACTTGCAAAATCAGCATCAAAAAACACATTTAGAAAAAAAAATTTAATATAAAAGAAGCCTAGTAAATTACAGTTGTTTTTAAATTAGATAAAATAACAGAAATTATGATTTCTCCTTTGTAAGTAACTCTGTGTAGGTATCATATCCGATTAGTTGTAGGTACGTCTTTTTAAGGTATCATAATATTAAACAAATACCATACATAGACATATAACTAATAATATTAAATAATAATAATAAAGTAAAACAATCTTTATTAGCATTACTCTAATTAGATAATTAATAGATAGATATCTAATCAAAATCAATAAATTATTTGATAACAAAATAATTTTAATAATTTATTAGCATTACTCAAATTATCTGTCTAATCAAAATCAATAAATTATTTGATAACAAAATAATTATAATAATAAGCAATACAATAAAATTGCTAGACTTTATGTTATAAAGAATTTAATTAAATACAATAATTATATTTAATCAGCTTTCATTTAAATTATAACACAATCATTTTAGACATTTTTGTGATCAATTTTTCTAAGTTTCTAATCTTATAAAGATAAATAAGACAAAAAAATCTATTGAGATGGGTATCAAGTTTTTCTTATATACATACATAGGTACTTATATTTACCTAACTAATTCCAAACAATATTTTCCCGTTGAGTTTTTTCGAATGCAATTTACATTTTTTTGTAAGAAACGGCAAAATAATCCTTTCAAACATACAAAGTTGTTTGAAATCATACTGTTAATAAATTTACTTAGTTAATCATACAATATTTGCAAAGATAAAATCTAACAAATTACAACTAATAGAATAAACTGTAAGGAATATATTCTAATGTAAAGATTGTTAACTTAATAAGTTGTAATTCAGATTTTATTGATTAGAAATGTAACAAAGTGATATCAACTTGCTGAACAGCTGGAGGCTATCTGCAAGTGCCGATTAACAAAGCCGCAGCGTAGGCAACTTGACGGGTTATTAACATAATATACTAATCTGTATAATTAAAATTATTAATTTATATAATTTATATTCTATTTAAAATTCTATTTTGCATTAAAATATTGTTAAAAATGTAGGTTTTTTTTTATAGTTGACATGTATTTGAACATTTACGAATTGAAACTATGAATATATGTTCCATATGATCATATGGTTCAATGAGAAAAATATTGTATCCAGGGAATTTTCCTGGTAATCTTTTGTCGTTGGTGAAGTCATCTTCCCATTGTGCATTCGAGGGGTTTTATGATTCGCGAACAGAATTTTTTTGCCGTCGTATCCCGGACACAGTATTCGAGTCGATCGATTATTTTTAGATCTTTTAGCTCTTTAGTTTACTGTATTTTAGTGATTGTCGGTCAATCATATTAGTAGTCTTATCATGTCGTGTTAGTAGTAATTCAATCGTATTTGTGATGTTGCCCGAAAATGGTTTGTATAGACGAAGTAGTTGCTTACTTCAAAACACTTAAAAGCTACGAACGGCTTTGGATGATGTGTAGACTCCAAAGCCACTGTCTTCCAATTGAGTTGAGGTACCTCGGCACTTGTTTAGATAGCTTGTCTAAGAGAGATATTCATATTTTGAAAAAGTTGGAACTCGAAGCGAACGATCCAGCCAACGTTAGTGAAGTAGCTCGTCGTTGTATTTGCGATAAAACTGTCAGGGCAGCGGTCATTAAGTATTTGTCTGTATTAAACACAAATAGTACTAAGTGCTCGGAACTAATTTATACGGCCTTAACAGACGAAAAAGGTCTACAGCGCATATTCAAGTGTCCAAAAGCGTTCTTCAACGATAAAAACGCATTTGAAGAGCTTATGGTATTGTATACATTGGCTGTAAATCATCCAGCATTTTTATTTGAACAAAAAACTCAACTAGATAGTATATTCAATTGTATCAAGAAAGAAAAAGAAAGACAGTTATCTAAAAACAAAGGCGTTGATCAAGATACAGAATCTACTGAGAGTTTAGAGGTATGTATAATATGTTAGGTTGTCAAATAATTTTCTTATATAGGTACCGACATTTAATTTAAACTAATTTATGAAATAAATTATAAAAACAAATAATTTTTTTTATTATAAATCATTAAGTGTGTACAATTCATAATAATGAATAGTAATACGGTGTACTTGTTTTTTTCTGTTTGTACCGATAGCAGTGAGGACTCTGTTTTCACAATACTTTCCCACTGTTGCGTCGTTAATTAAAGAAAATTCAATAAGTGGTCTTGAAATTCTGTTTTCCCCTTCATGGGGCAAGCTCACATTAACTTAGGATACTATTGAATGTGGTGTACTTATATAATATAATATTACGTTATTATTAATTTGAATAAATCTATTAAAAAATTGTAAATGTTCAAATTTATGGCTGTAATATATATGTATATTTTAAAAGTATAGCCTATATTGAAATTACAGTACCTATTAACATTCCATAAAAATTATTAAAATAGTAGTAATTATATTAACTAAGTATTCTCGTATATTTAATAAGTACCTACTTATATCTTTGGTTCTATACCAACTTAATAAATGAAATAAATTGTCATTTATAAATTAATTTATATTGTTTCGTATAAACATTTTACAAGCAATAAAACGAAATTAAAAATATTTGAATACCTTGTAAACATTTGCTTTTAATTTATCTAAACTTTACAGTATTAAATAATAAAATATTGAGTAATATTTAAATCAGTAGATAATACTAAAAATACAGCTTTTATAGAGCTTTTGAATTATAATTTATAAATTATAAATCTGTATTAGTTTTCGTATCATATCCAATACATTTTAAAAGATAGTAATTATTTAACAACAATTACTTTTAAGTGAATTGTTGTATGTGTTTTATATTTATTGTCTGCGCAACTCATTTGGAAATTAACATACGCTTAGTTAAACTTATTATATTCTTCAGTAAGTACTTAATTTAAATATTATATAGGTATCTCTTTCAATATTAAACTCTCGAAAAAGTGACTTATATAAATATTTTATTTTTTGGTACTTACTAAATTATTTTCAGATATTTCTAAGCTATTAATTATTTAAATATAAATAAAAGTATAATTTAGTTAATGGTTTAGTAGATATTTTATTGTTTGTTATGCGGGTGATTGAAAATATCATACTTGAAAGTTATTATCATTTTATTAAAAAAATATCTTTATTTTAATGTTTATCTTTTAGTACTTTTGATTACATAATAACATTTGTTTAAAATGGAATCAATTTTATTAGAATATTATATTGCATTACAATATGTATCTAATTGTTTCTTTGTCTTCAAATTAATTTATACTTGCTAGGCAAATATATAAATTTAAGAATTTTTATTATGCTATGTTTTGCATGATTTTTCAACTATTTTTTTTTTTTATAAATGAATTATAAAAACTAAAAGATTGTATTAATTTTACAGTCTTTTTCTGTTTTTTTTTTTCAGTTTTACAATTTATTTAATCATGTGTTAATGCATCTAGCATGAATATTTGACATTCGATTTGTAGAATTAAATATTTTATATTATTTTTTTGTTGGAACATGGCACATATTTATCTATTCTTTGTTAATTTATGATGAAATATTATTTAGATAAACAGTATGTACTTAATGTACTTATTAATAATTTTAATTAACTAACATTTTAAGGAATATTTAACTATATATTTTATGATTTAAATTATATTTGTGTCTATCTACTTATTTTCTTTATGCAGCATTCATATGATCTAGTCGTGTTACCAGCAAAATTGGACTATTTCTAACATCTGTGATTGGCTTAAAAACTACAGCGTGAATATCTTCACTGCCAAAGATCACATTTCTATAATATGTACGTATTTTATCATGAATAGGTAGCTGAGAATATTTTATCTATTCATAGGTATTAGGGCTTTGAACCTTAAGAGGGTGTGATACACTGATACCTGCATGAGGTCTTATCTCCATTTTACAAACATACAATATATCAAAATTGTATTCAGTAAGGATAATATTGTGCTGTTAATTTTAATATTTCAGTGAATTGACCTATTATCAAATTTAAAAATAAGAACATTATTTTGTGAAACAATGTCCCCATTTTTTCTTTTGGTATTTAAATGTTTAAGAGAGATATGAGTGGATATGTGAAAAATCACAATTTAATAATACTAATATCTCACTTGAAAATTAAAATATTGAAAAAAATAGCTCCAATATTACAAATTTGCTATGTAATAAATTTGTAAGATTGAGACATTATGTGCAGTATCACATTCTCATAAGGATTTGTACCCACTTTTGTGATAAATGTTACATTACCATTATGATGATTGTGACAATAATATTGTTTTTTGAAACCATGAATATATTTTGTCTCTAAAATCACTGTATTATTAGCATTTATCGCTGAAATGTGGACATTTTTCAATAATAATATTTTTGATAAATACTTTTTGGGTTTTTGGTACCTACATATAGTAAATTACTAAAAATTAATATTCTTGTTTTCATTAAAATATTAATTATTTTAGTGAAATTTAGACAATTATTTAATAAACATTCAATTATTTCCTAACCACTTTAAATAATTTTAATTTTATATTGTTTATTTATTTGATAATATAAATTTCTATATTTGTTTGATTTTTTTTTTTTTTTGCATGCGATTTTAACAATTTGTTAAGTATATATTTATAAATACAAAATGTTATGCAGGTTGATAATTTTTAACAATTGAATAATTTTCATAATATTCAAATTAACTCATTTTGCCTCTACTAATCTTAAATATCATAGAAAAAATCATTTTGTAGTTGTCATTATTTATTATTGATATTTCATGTTATATAATTTTGTGGTTCAGGGTCTTAATTTAATTTATGTTTAAAGCCCCAATTTGTATATATTATATAAGTTATTCATTTGAGAATAGTATCATAATAATGGTAGAAACTAAATTAATTAGTAGTGCAATTTCAAAATTGTGTTGTTAATAGTTACATAAACCATGACTGAATAATTCACATTTAAAATATGTATTTATTAATTAAAGCTAAATTAATTTGATTGATTTTTATTTTAACTCAAAGTGCTAGTATTGCTCGAGTTATTTTAGAACATTTTGTGAATTGACTACTTCTAGTTATAAATATTGAAATTCAATTTTTATTTTAAAATTAAAAAATAGTACTGAATTTAAGTTTAATATTGAGTTTACTTTAAACATTAATTACATACTTATATGCACAAAAAGAAAAAACAGTTTTGGTTAATAAATAATATACAATACATAAGTACATATACATATTTTTTTCAATTAATTATGGAAACAACACAGTTTATTATGAATTATAGACACTAGACAGTATTATAAAATTATAATTATCATAACTAATCAGTTAATTATTTATTTATTTTAGTGCACATGTAATACAAAATTGAATATGTTTTATTAATTACATATAATATTAATGTAAGTTCTATTTTATTAAATAAACAAATTAATTGATTTTTTGAAACTCATTAAAACCCATTAAAATAAATTTCAAAGCTTTTGAATTATACAGTTTACTAATGTGTATTTTTTAACAAAATATACACAGGTACCTACTACTTATTATTAATTTTTAGATTCTGGGTGGAGTGAAGAATCTTATGATCTTACAAAGATGTTTATTTTTTTTTGCTCCAATTTATAATGATGGCAATTTTTCTAAAAGGAAATCTGACTCGGGAGGTATTTAAAAAGGTCATTTTTGATTTTCCCAGCAAATGTGAAAGATGTAGGAAAACAAGAAAATGAACATAAATAAATATTATTAAAGAAAATATATAAAGCCTATTTAATTATTTTACTATAATATGACATATATATATTGTTGATGGAGCATCACTATCAACTGAACTCTGCTCAGAATCGTTTTTTGTTAGCAATGGTTTATCATTGATTACAGGTTTACATTACATTACCCATATCGGTGGCTGCACCTGTCTCCATTATCCTAGGATGTCATTTTGTTTTTTAAAATTTATGATTATATTAAATTAAAATTAATTTGAAAATAATTACATAAAAAATAAAGTACTCTACCTCATACCATAAATAATATATAATATATAATTTCATGTTAATTAAACAATTATTATATGAGAAAGATTAATGGAATCAATTTTAAAATTTAATATTTATTATAAGTATAATCATTGAATATCTGATCATCTATAGTTAGTAATATTAAAATGTATAATATAGGTTTTTGATTATAATGATGTTAAGATAACAGATAATTTATTGATTATTTTTGAAGATTTTCTCAAAATGTGAAATTGTAAAACATAATTTGTTTTATATATATATCACCTATTGTATATAAAATTATGATTTATGTTTCATAAAGTCACCTTAATTTATTTATTTATTAGTTATTAAAAATTAATGACCAACATTTTACGAATATTATTTTTTGCCAATCACTAGTCAATACCAAATTTATTTCAAAACCACCAATAAGATGATCTAACACATATTGTAAATATGTGTATTTAAAAACCCATATATATTTTAACAATATTGTTTTTTACATAACACTGACTATTTAATATTTAAAGAGTTAATGTTTTTAATTTAAATATTATACCTAAATTAATATATTCAAATACAAAACGGAAAATTTGTAACTAATTAATAGTTATAAATAATTACTTTGACAATATTACTGAATATCAAACATTAAAAATCAAAAGTCAAATTGATTATTTAGGTAATCATGTAACTGCTTTATTTATGTAGATAAGAAAAAAATACATATTTTTATCTAGACAATGCACAACACTTGGTAGTATACAAATATATTTGATTTCTAAAAATATGTTCCATAAAACTAAAATTGTTATCTAAATTTAGCTATTATGCATATAAAAGAAAATAAACAAAAATAGTATTCATTTTTCAAACCAATAGATCTTATTTTTCTGGAATGATTTAAAATCTAGAATATATTTATTATATACCTACTTCATATTTTTTTGTTCTAGAGTATTAACACAATGATTCCACCACCCAACTTTATGTACCAGCCAGCTCATGGGGGATCAAATTATCCACTGAATAGGAATGGTTATTTATATCCACGTCATTGTAAGTACAATTTAAATTAGTTAGAATAATACAATAAACAAAACGCATGTTTATGTTATTTCAGATTATCCGTTTCCTCCTATGAATGTACCACCAATGCAAGTTTGTTACGACTATCCACCACCTTCAGCAGTTTCGGCAATACCCCGAGCACCACATCAGCCAAATTTTGCAAAATCTTCAAGTCCTGTTTCATGGCATCCACGCACATTCCAAATAAATCCACGCAATCAACCACCAAATGCAAGTTCAAAACAAAGACATCCTACTCCACCTAGATATCGCAGTCCACCGGACCCAACTTATCCATTTGCGCAATCATGGAACAATTGGAACATGTATCAAATGTCTCCTCATAATATGTATACTCATTATAATTACCCCCCTGGAATGGTAAATAGCAATATATACTTATAATTATTTAAAATCAGTATTTTAGATATTGAGACAATGGACTTGCTAGATTTAATACACCTTTTAGTCGTATAAATATTTTTCATTCTAATTTAGTTCTTGTAAAACTGGTATATGTCAAATAATGCATAAAATATAATTTAAGAATTGGTATGGTTCTTTTATTAATTAAGTATTTCTTAAAAATAAAAATAAAAGATCAACTCAAATTAATTTTTTTAAATTAATTTATGGAATATTGAAGCACAATTTTATTTTTAATCATCAATTTTGTTTAAAAAATCTATGATATAATTAGTTTTATATTTATAAACCAAATTAAATTTTATTATTTAAAATATTTTTTGTATAAAACAGTTTAAATTGAATTTGCTTTATTTTATTTTAGATAATATCCTATTAATACCTACTTAAGTTTTTTTTTAAATTCATATTATGAATATATATGACATATTAAGAAGTTAAAATTGTGTAGCTCTATAAAACTAAAAAATGTATTTTAAACCTAGCAAAAAATCAATAAAAATTTAAAATGAAGTACCAAAAGTCCCAACAAAAAGTACCTAATCTACTTTAAAAAACCAACAAAAAATATATATTAAATATATTAATTTTGTTTTATTTGTATTATTTAATGTATACAGTTAAATATACATATAACATAACATTAATTATGTAATTAACATTACATGTGTTTATATTCAACGTTACAGTAAGTTTAATATCCTAAACTATATACAAATACATAACATAAAATTGTAAAAAAAAAATAATTAATAATATTAAAAAAATCAACTAAAATTTTCAAGAACATTTTAAAAATAAAGCAAAATAAAATTTTTCCATGTTATTCTAATTATAAATTAAATTTATATTTAACATAGTTTCATTCTAGACTAGTAAAAAAAAAAATCAAATTCTTACAAAATCCTAATTATAACTATGAATCAAATAATACATTCAGAACTATAATAAATTAAATTGTTTTGATTTATTTAAATTAGGTTCCTTCTTACTATCCTGAAAATACTATGGGACGCAGTTATCAAGGATATGGTTCAAAAAGTAAATACTCAACTGTAAATCGATCTCAAGATCAATATAGGAGTCAAGTGCCAACAGTGCCTGTGGTATAAAATTTAGTTTTTGGTTTGTGTATTAATTTATATTAATTTGTACATTTATTTTTTATAATAGTCAACAACTCCAAATAAGACAGATAACATAGACAAGAGTACTAAACCTATTTTTGCAAATGCTACAACAAATACTCCTGCTGAAAATGAACCGATAGTTGAGACAGCATCATCTTCAAAATCAACTGAAGTTTACCATCAAAGTAGTTCTTCTACAATTATTAATTCAGCCATTACTGATAATGCTGATTGTCCTCAACCCATAGTTGAAAATAGTTCAATATTTGGAGGTCCTAACACAGTTCAATCTACTACTGATGCAACAGAAAATATTTCTAAGACCGTTTTTGAAAATAAGGCAAAAGATGATAAAGTTGTACCAACAACTTCAAAAGTTCAGTCTGAATTACCAAAAACATTCACACCATCTACCAATTCACAAGAAGCACAGTGTTCAGACATTACAGTGCAATCAAGTACTTCCCAAGGGCCTTCTAATGAACTAGATACAACTATTGATTTATCTTCACTTTCGGCTGAGTTAGAAGATGGAAAACTTACTGAGGAAAAGTATACTTCTGTGGATAACAAATCTAATTCTGATTGCCAACCACAGAACTCAAGTATTATATTTTACAATATGATTAATTTTCATATATCTACCCCAGAGAAAAAATGCTGAGATAGAGCATGGTATGAAGAGAAAGGAATCAGAATCAATAAAAATTTTAATGAAATTAAAAATAGGATGAAAGAGGGAAAGAAAAAAACCAAAAATGTGATTTAATGTGATTAAATATATGAGGATAGCTGGTGAATAGGAGGTGGGAGATCAGGTCAAATGGAAGTTTAGGACACAGGTGACCTCTAAATAATTGGAATGAAGATGAAGAAGAATAGTTTTTTTTTTATAAGTTACATTACATTGATTTGTAAAAAAAATTTATTAGCTGTGTACAATAAATATTTATTTTCTTAATTTTTTTGTTTTTTTAGAAATTCCATTGCAGCATGAAACTAATGTAAGAAAAGAATACGGAGTAAAAGGAATGATATCTGATGCTACAACAAATTCAATAAGTACTCCAGTAACTACTGCTGCATATAATACACAAGGCAGTAAATACTATAAAGGTCGTCCAATACAGTCTCAACCAATACAGTCTCAACCAAGGCCAACTATAAGAGATGGGAATTTAAATAATAGTTACAATAGGTAAAATGCAATTATATAATTGGTTTTTTTAACAATAATATATTTCATCATCACATAATTAAGAAAAAATTAATATGTACAAAAAACAAAATAATTTTTCAAAAACTGTGCAAGTACATGTTTGACACTTTCAACTTTGGGTTCAAATAATATCTATACATTTTAACATGTTTCAATTTTGACCTAATTAGTAAACTTATTTTGTTCAAAATAAATTTTGTTAGATATATGTTTATAAAGTACTACTTTCTTGAATTGTTTCAGAATTATGAATCACAATGTTAGGAATTTAAAGGGGGTGTCATATGATGACACATGTCGCAAATTAGTCATCTGTATCAAAATTGTCACAGAAGAACTATTATTGTGCTTTTAAAGACCTTTTGAATTTTGTATAATGTATCATAATTTATACGATTTTATTCAATTTTAAACTTCAAATGCTTATAAAAAAAAGTTAAATTTGATAGCTTTTTTCTGCCAAAAAAAAGAAAAAGAAAAATAGAACAGTAAACCTCTCAAAAGTTATTATAAGAGATGTCTACATTCAATTTATCCAGCTATCTGCAGTACTGTTCCATTTGATTCCACTCTACAATCCCACCACAGATCTTTTTCAATTTACTATTCATGTATCAATTATAACAGCAGTACTTTACTTACAACAATTTAAATTTGTTTTTTAGTCATAATTTACCTGGAATGTCTTACCCTAGATGACTAGACTTCCTACTCCATGGATGGTTGAATGCATTTGTAGGCCTTTGTTGTTGCTACTCTCTCTAAAAATAGATGTCATAATTTGAATTTCAGTGACTAGACTGTATTCATATATTAATTGGTAGGGTGTGTATATCAACAGCCTGCTTGAAGCAACGCCTGTATTCCCTACTAAATAATTAATCGAAACAATAGCTAATGAGTTGTCATTGTTACAAATCTAAAATTCAAGTTAATTGATTAGGAGTTTTTAATTTTTTTTGTATAGCATAGAACTTGTAGCAAATATGCATATTATAATTACTTTAGTTACTTTAATTACTGAGTATTTAAAAACAAAACAAAAATTCCTTTATGATTTTATGAGTGTATGTTTGTTTTAGTTTCAGAAAACCTGTGTCAGGTCTTGTACAATCATATAATGAACCTGCAAGAGAAAATGCACATAGGCCTCACCCTAAAATACCAAACAATGGTCAACAGTACTATACCATGTCTTATGATAACGGAGCTAGTGCTCGACCTTATAATACTCAAACATACTATGTTCATCAACCTCAAACATCTCAACCAATGACTAGTTATTCTTCTGTACCACGGCCATATTTACCTCAACAACATATTGTTCAGTCTCCTGAGTATCAACAAGTCTATCAACAGCCTGAGTTTCTTTATTATCCATCATCTTCTCAAACATTTTATACAACACCAGTGTTAATGCAACCTCAAGTATTGGCCTATCATCCGCCAAAAGTATCATGCTACAATTGTGGAGGGCAGAATCACACAGGAGCTGAATGTACTGAATTGACAATGGAAGAATTAACAAGTAAAGGTAGATTTTAACAAATTTAAAATTAGTATTTTAGAAAGTAGGTATTCTTTTCTTGAAACTAATTTTAGATTCTGAGTGGAACAAGGAATGTATTGGTTTTACAATGATTTAAATGGTAAAACCATTAAAATGGTTTTACCATTTTACCATAATATGACATATTATATATTATTGAAAAAGCCACACTATCAACTGAACTCTGCTCAGAATTTTTTTTCGTTAGCAATGATTTATTGTTGCTTACAGATATAAATTAAATTCCCATCTACATTAGTGGCTGCACCACATGCTAAGTATGTCCATTCTTTTTTATGTTTACTTTTATTAATATTTCATAAGTTAATTTTTTTTATTATTTAGAATACACACATTACCAATTTACTTAATACATAGTGACATAAAAGAAAAAGGAATTTTTACCATTCCGCATTGAATTGTATTGGTAATATAGGAAATTCATTTACTAGCCATTCACTTTTATTTCATATTTCAGTAGTTTCCACAAGTACCTATTCTATAGTTTGCACATTTGTATTTGAATTGAAAAATCATGTTTGATGATACACAGTATTATGAATTTATCTTCCATTATTTAATAATAATAAAAGCTTTTCATTCATCTTAGTGAATTATAATTTGGATTTAATCCTACTTTGGTTTTAATTATATCAAGTTAGTAACTCTATTATGTTTATAAAAAATAAAGAAGTTGTTCCAAAATATTGTCTTTTTTACAAATTATAAATCCATGATACATACACACGTGTTCTGTAATTTTAAACCAATGTAGACCAATTGGACCATTTCAAAACTTAAGAAACAAAATTATTTTTAAATTTTTTTTATTTAAACGGTAAATGAATCTTTATAAATATCATTCAATAAAAATATTTGTACATACAATGCAATATATATATATATACACACACACAAAACTTGTGTGGGGTTTTACTTCTAGTGAAACAACCCCATTCTTAATCTAATAATTAGTCTAAGTTAAATGGCTTCAGTTGTTTGATGTCCTGCGAGTTGTCGAGGAGTTGTATGGCAGCCATATTTGTGTGGAGCTCCAATCTTGCATGTTTGCGAGCAAACTGGGTAATTACATCCTTTCATACCATTTTCAAATCGCTGTGGATGATGTCATTTTTATCATACCGATATGCTGTGACGAATGCTTTGGCATCTTTGCATTATTTCGATATTGGACACAACCCCACAGTTGAATACCATAAATCCAAATCGGTTTAATTATCGATACACACAATGTTGATACATACATGCTGGTAAAGTCTAGCTGGGAGTGTCCTCCAACTAGCCAGTAAATGTTGAGCATTTTTTTGTTTGATTTGCAACTTTTTCTGGCGTACATGTTTCCAGTTAAGTCATGAATCAAGATGCATTCCCAGATATTTCGTTAATTGGAATATCAGCCGTATAGAGTAGGTACAAAATAGGTCTAAGAATGCTACCTTGAGGTACTCCAGTTGATATACTCTTCCAATTAGTTATCGCTTCTTTGTATCTGATGCGAAAATGTCTCAGCTAAATATGATTTGAGGAGTGCACACCATGTGTGCAGAAGCTACTCACGGAGTTTGAACAATAGGCCTTTGTGCAAAACTTTGTCAAAAGCTTGGGCTACATCCAGGAATACTCCACAACAATAATTTTTCTCGTCTAACGCCTTACTGATCATGTTTGTTACGTGATGAACTTAGTAGATAGTCAAGTGTTTTTTTACGAAATCCAAATTGGTGATCTGGTATAAGTTGCTTTGCTTCAATAATTGAGTAAGACCCTTGAGAAGTTTTTCAAATAGTTTTGACATGTATGGTAGAAGTGATATCAGTCGATAAGAGGAGGCTTGTTCGGGTGGTTTTGATATAAAATACCCATAGTAGTATTATGATTATTAGCAGGTACAACTCTATCAAATTCTTCTGGAATTTAGTGTACACAATTATTATCAGTGATTTACCTACTAATAAATTTAACATTTTAAAGCATTTTTATATTAAAATACAGTGTTAAATTAATAAATAATGAAAATAACAAATATTATTTATTTACTTAAGTAAACCATTTTTAAAAAGTCAGGGAAAATTCAAAATGGAATTTTGTAGCAATCATGATAGCTAAGTAATCTATTTTTAATTATTTTCTAAATATTTTAGCAACATTAAATATTAAGGTGGTGTATAGTTGATAGTTAATAATCTATTTTAAGTATTTGGCCATTTTTGTGAACTGGAGTTATTATAGAAATATTGCAAGACATATAGCATTAGGTTTTGAGATATAGATAAATTAAAAATGTGAGGTAGTGGATTACTGAAGATTACACAATTATTTTTTACTAAATCACTTGTTATTTTATTACTGTCCAAAATCAGGTATGTAAACAAAATGAAGTTTGGACCCCTCCCAAAAAAAAAACAAAGTGGCTATGTGCCTGTCCAGAGTTAAACTATTTTGTAAGCTAGATACTTTAATTAGAGAGATTTTAATTTTTCACCTGTGGTTATTATATCAAATTTACTTAAATTAGGTTTACCAGGCTTACTAGGTAAATAATCATATTGAAGTGTCTCAAATATTTTTTAAGACCAATATTAAGTGGGTGCTTTCTAACTTTGACATGAAATAGTTATATTATCCTAAAAAAATATTAATCTTTTAATTTATTATTAATTCTTAGGAGATTCAAAATATTCTTTTGAGGTGGAGTTTTCATTTTTTATTAAATATTTAATATATCCATGAAAATTTTCATGGTGGTATTTACAATACTTGTTTCATAAATTGCAGACCAGTCCTGATCTATAAATAAATAATACATGTGTCTTCTATATATTTTATTTATTTATTTTCTCTCTATTTTTTTTTACATACTTACATTATATTGTTATAATATAATTTTATTAAAACCTTATAGTTTGTGTTTTGTAATTTATTAATAGATACTTAAACAGTTTATGTTTTTTTTTACTTTTAAGGTCTGTATGAAACTCATTATGGACCACCAATGCCAGATGGCAGACCCCACAATTGACAGTTATGCTGCAGCAATTGTAATTCATATTCACATTAAACAGGATGACTTGAGGTAAGAATTGTTTGTTAAATTTTATTATAAAATGTTAATTTTATAAAATTTCATTGTCTTGTTGCAGACTTCAAGGATGGTGAGACCATGAACACCCTCTCCTATAGTATTAATTTAAATTATGATTCCTCTGTTACCTGCTGTTTCCAAATAAGACTGGGTAATGTTTTTTTTCTTCCGGTTTAGTATTTTTTAAATGTATAACGTTAGCAGTATGAAAATTATGTAAACATTTAATTTAATCAAACATTAAATTCCTGGCAACTCAAGTAGTCACTTCAATTCCTTATTTTATATTATTTTCAACAATCATATTATAGTTATCACTTATTGGTATTATATCTAATTTATTGAACTGGATATACTTTTAATCTTTACATTTCATTCATATCTGATCACAAAGCAATTGTTTTTAATAAAACAATCATGATTAAAATTGATTAATTGTTTTATTTTTGAAAATAATACTTTAATGTGTAACATTCCCTTATTATTTTGACACCTGAAAAACTGATAACATTTATAATAATTTTCTAAATTTACAAAAATAATATAATTTGTAAATTTAAAAACCAAATACATCATTATGTATTTATATTAACATTATTAATAAATGTAGGTGATAATATAATTTACTAAAATAATAAATAATTTAAAATTAAAAATATGTTGTTAAGTAATAAATATCATATTTTCTTCTTGTATTAAGTCTATTAATGTTGATTTTTTTTAAAAAAATTTCTTTCAAATATATGCAAGTTGTAATTAATTTAAAATATTAGAATCGTATAATATTTAAACTGAACCTTAATTTCGATCTACTTATTATCTTTTGGGATTTTAAGTAACTTTTAGACCTGATTGAGGCCAAAGTTATGTTATAATTTTAGGGATCTTTTATTTCATTTGTATTAAAAAACTAACTTATTAGTCATCATTAGCAATTCTGTTAATAAATGATTTTAAAATAGTTCTAGTTTTGAACATGGATACCTAAATAAATTTTAATTTATGTGATAATGTTTAAGTTAAACATTTTGTATATATATATACTTAAAATATTGAATGAGAAAAATATACTGCTAGTCATCAATGAATTGATTTCTTGTTCATCAAATTCGAGTATTGGTGTATTTAATCTATTGAAATGAAATTAAAAGATAATTATAATGGACATCAATACCAATTGTAGCTCATTATACAATCTTCTAAAAGTAAATTTCTACATATTTACAAAATATAATTATTGTAACAGTTATAATGATAAATGTTTTCTATGAGTTTGATTTATAAAACCTTTTTTTTATTATTTGAAATAATATTTGTATAAATTGATAAGTTTAATCCAGTAATTTTAGATTCAAATGAAAATACCTAACAAGAAAAATATTTTTAATTTTTAAAATTATTGTTAAACATATTTTTAGGTGATAGTGCTTTAAATATTAAAATTTTAAGGTTTAATTCAATAATATTAACATTATTGTTTATATCCAGTTTTACAAACTTTTGTTATTAGATACGATATTCTATGATAATATTTGTATATATTTGCACTTTTTTATTATATATAATATATATACACTTAAAAATTTCTGTTTCTTCAGCTTAATTTAGTTTAAGAATATTAAGTTTAATTTAAAATCTTCAGATTAGACAGTGTTTTCTAATACACCATCAGCTACATTCCTTATTCTATACATATTTTTTTCTGTTTAGTATGTAAGAATAATTCAGATAAATTTTTTTTCATACAACGCTTAACAATTTAGAAAATATTTTTTCTAGATATTTAAAAATTATATTATAGTATTTAAATTAACAAACATGATACTTAATATGTCTGAATATGTAAAAAAAAAAAAGTAATAAATATTCTTAAATTATAATTTATTCATACATGTTAAATAATCAGTCTGTATTTACACATACAATTATTATTATTCTTATATTATTATTCATTATAATTACATTTTTATTATAAATAAAACAAACTACTTCCATAATACTATTGTATTGTAAAACCTTTGCACAGTTCCTAATTGTTATAAATGTATATTATAATGTGTAGAGATCAGATTGCATGCATTTTTAAAAAAAAAAAAAAAAAAATGTTTTTGTACTCTATAATTTCTAGGATAAAAATATTCTTTTATATACATAAATATATTTATGTATTTATTTATTTTAACATATTAGATTTTGAGTGTTATATTTTGATTTTTCAAGCTACTTTCATAATAACTGGGAACAAATATAGGAAAACCTGAGTAATTTACAAAATACATTATTTTCAATTTATTTTTTGTTATTAAATTTTTATTTTAATATTCTCTCAGAATTGTTTTTCTTTAGCAATCATTTATCTTTGCTTACAAGTATAAATTAAACAATATTATGTATCTCACATTAACAACTATCCACCTTCAACAGTGTCTGTAACCACCCTTAGTATCAGCTCTTTTTTATATATATATATTTTCAAAAAGAAATCTTGCATTGCATATATTTTTTTAAAACAACTAATATTATAATTTAGTTAATACAGAGAAAATAGCATGATGTATTGTGTGATGAGTGATATCATTAACTAATTTGTCTTGTAGTTAAAATATAATTTCCAAAAACTTTGAATCGCTTTTAATAATAGAATGTTGAATAAATTAATGTTATTCAATCATTATAATGTATTAAAAACTATATTTACATTATTTTGTAAAAAAATATAGATTCTCATTTAAATTTCAAAAGTTGACCCTCAAAATCCAAAAATAAATGCTGGAAAATTTAATATGAGGTTCATTATACCCAGTGGTTAAAAATAAAACTACAGTGTAATGTTTTTTATAATGGTTTTAAAATCAAATTTTGAGGAAAATTTGTAAATATTGTGGATTTTCAAATAATATATAATCGAATTTTGATCAGAATCGTTTTCCGTTTAGTAATGGTTTTTCGTTGCTTACAGGTATAAATTAAATAACTTTATTCATTAAACCTTTCTAACTTCCCACCTATAACGTTGGCACACCCTTCAGGAGTATCAGCTTTTTTTTTCCATGTAGGTATACTTGGGTTAGATTTACTAGGTTTTATTGCGTATACTGTAAAATATTAAATAATACAGTTATTTAAATTTTTCCTCCCGATTCCTGTTTATTATTCAAATAATGATTTTTAATCAATAGATTTTTTTGTTATTATATAGTTATTATAAGTTATTTCTTATCATTCTGATATTTTTAATTTAAAATCCTTTACGCGTTTTTTTTTTTTTATTAATAATTTTTTTTTTCTGACATTTATTAATATGTCTATCCACCGTGCTGCTTTGTATGTCTAGAAGCACATTTATAAAGTAATCATCGTATTTTTTGAAGCCTTCCATCATTTCATTGTTATCATTTTCTAGTAACTCGTTTTCGTCACATTTAAGTTGAAATAAAGCTTTGTATTTCTTTAGTTCCTTCATAATATTTTCAGATTTTTTTAGACAATTGATGTAGCCTTTAATTTTTTGTTCCAAGTATTGGTTTCTTTTTTCATTTTCTGTATAATCGTCGTTGAGCTTTATATTTTTCTTTTTAAGAGATGACATGTGTGTTTTTAAGTAATTGTTATTGTTTAAAACTTCCTGCAGTTTTTCCGTTAAGTATTTTATTATTGCTAATTCTTTTTCGCGTTTATCGTTGTAAAACATTTTTAAATTTTCAATCTCTTCGTTGTATTTTTCAATAGTCGTTCTAATATTACCATCGTGGATACTTTGATGTTTTTCTACTTCTAAAACGTGTTTTGTCCCGATTTCGCGGAATACGTTGTTTGTGTTTTCTTCCATCCGGTTCAAAACCTGAGCCATTTGCTCTTTTAGTAGTCCCGTTTTATCGTCTAAATTTTTCACGTACACTAATTGGGTATTTTTTATTTCGTCTCTTTGTTGTAAATCCTTATTTCTGATGATGTCCTGAAGTGACGAATTCAATTTAAACATCTCGTTCGTTTGCTTTTTGCATTCCGCGTGCAGTGCTCTTGCGACTTCTTCGTTTTCCAGGCGTATTCTATCCAAATTTTGACTGTTTTCGTAGATAAAATGCATACGCTGTTGGCGAAGGCTTTTTTCAAGCTCATTTATTTTACTTGTATTTTCTTCGGCCGTTTTTTGTATGTTAGTCATGTCTGACGTAAGTTTCATTAATTTTTCTCTAGAGATCTTCCAGAATACATTTAACTGATCGCGATCAATTTGAATCAATGACCGACCCTGTTGTTCTGCTATTAAATTGTTGTTCAACTTCTCAATGAACTCAATTAATTTATCGTAATTAAGATCGTAGACATTAATTTCGCCTATTAATAAAACCTTTTTTTGGTCCGCCATTGTTGGGAAACTTTAATAAATAGAGTATTACTGGGTAAAAAGTTTTGAGTTAAAACGATTTTATTGTTTACAAAACTGATTTAAAACAAACAGTAAAAGAATGATAAAGTACTTATATGGTTATACAGGTAGGTAGTTACCTAAATATTTTGTTGTTACGCGTGCATCATTAATACTTGTGAACTAATAATGTATTATTATTTCCTATTGTAACCAGCTTATTAGATTTAAATAGAACAATATGCTAATTATTAATAATTAATAATAAAATAATAAAGTAAAAACAAAATTATTAAAATGGTTAATACTTGTAAATAAATATATAAATAAAAAATGTATACAGAGTAATAAAAAATAAATAAATAATTGAATGCGTCGCCTTATGCGACCGGTTTCGAATTAAAAATTCGCCATCAGGCATATCACAGTCAAAATGTCAATCCGGTCTTGTAATACACTTATTATAATACTCTAGGCGACGCATTCATTCATTTATTTATTTTTTATTTCTATATTTATTTACTATATTAATTATTTATCCTGGAAAAACAAAGAACAAATAAGGACACATTTATATGTGTAGGCACTTTTATCTTACCTATATAGGTGATCCATATTTTTCACACACTCATATTTTTAGTGACACTATTATAATGATCAAAAATCGAATTTGTAATTAATAGTTGTTCAGAAATCCAGTTATAATATATATAATTAATTGTTGTATACGCGACTAGTTTTAAGTATAGTAATCATAATTAATTATAATAGGAATATTGGTAGTAAGAATAACACGACCAGAAAAAAATATGCCGAGATGACAGAATGTAAATAGATACTTATGTAGCTTACCTATATAAGACAACAATGGTCACGAGAAATAGGCTGTTCAATTTTCACAACGTTTAAAAAACAGCAATTGGGAGTGACGACTATTTTTTGAAATCTGAGTCAATTTTAAACTGTTTTTTCGTACCTATTTTTCTGTGTACGTTCTTGTTTTATTTTATTTTAAAAAATATACCGCTAAGAATATTCTAGTGGCATACTGTCTTGTGACGTTTGTGGCAATAAATTATTTTTTTCAAGATAGTAGAACAGTGTTGTAATTATATCTCATCCAATAGGTACTCGTTATTGTGGTCAATTGAGTTATAGTACACTATTGTACAGTTTAAATTTTTAAATTACAAAAGAGTCTTTATGTGCTAAATCAAGCGCCAAGGTTTGATCAAAAGGTTCTATAATTTTTTTAAATAAATTTGGTTTATGGTTTAGTGAGGCTGATTTGCGTGTATTTAAAATAAAATAAATTTCGCAATATTTGTATATGATGGGTTCATGTACGTAGCCAATGGAGGCCTGAGTGCGACTGCCTCCTCCCAAAATTTAAAACATAATTATTTTTATCAAGTATAAAAACGTGCTAGAGCTTATATACTTCGGAATAAATCTATTGTGATTACTGATTACTATTGGGTAATACGATTATTATGACTGCATTTTCATTTTTATATTCATAGAAAATGTTATCTGAAAAATCATTTTATATTGAGCTTATTAAATTTGAATATATACTTATAATATTGTGTTATTAACATTTTAGAATCCGAGTGAAGCAAAGATGTACTTATTAGTTTTATAATGATCTTTATTTATTTTTTCTATCTATGAACAAATTTTCTTGCTTCGATTTTCAAATACTTTTTCTGAAAGGAAATTTTATCTGGGTGATACTTTAAAAAAGTTATTTTCCAAGATTTTCAGTATAGAACACCACTTATATGGAGGAGAGTGAGGGAGAGAAATCCCCACAAGCTTTTCATTGGAAATACATTTTGGAAAATGATACAAGAGCACAAAATGTTTAAATAAAACATTAAATACGGCCATCGTTGGCGTACATCATAGAATAAATAATATTATCAATTTGTTTTCATCATTATTGTATATCTCCAAGTAATAATCATGCATAGACCACAGATATTTTTACTATACTAGATACCGTATTTCTGTTATCAAGTGAATCAAGCCGCTTTCGTGGCCACTATGTTCTCGGATGGTGTGATTTGTAAATATTGTATTTAAACATGTTGACCTAGCCTAATCTTACGATAGAAGATTTTTGTTTTCACAAAAATACGTGGCAACTTCGATAATATTATTAAATAATAACAGATGTTACCAAAGATAACGAATATTAAAGAGAATATTGGATGGATTAACGGGGGTGGTTCTAGAACTGAAATTTTATATAGGCACCACTATTGGTCTCTTGGCCCGTGTTTATATGTTAATTCTTATGTTCAACGTTGGAACGAAAAGGTGGGATATGTATGTATAATACGCTAAATATTTTCAACCCTCTCCCCTTGGAGCTTGCCAAAAAACGCCTCTAACAGGAACGAATTGATTTCAAGGCAAGCTATAGAATCAAATAAAATAATAATTTATAATTTATGTAATGGTTATAAGTTTTTATTTGCTATACTATACCCAACAGATGCTTCTAGTTCAAATAGTACAATATTTAGCACAGTTACATGAACTTAGTCATGATCTAAAGAATATAAAGATTTAGGAAACATAGAAACTGGACTATTTCAGCCAAAACTTCAAGTAAGGAAATATTTTACTTTTTGTTTTAATTTAAATATATGGGGAATGTAAAGTATATAGTTTGTGATGATAGTTCATTTTAAAATACCCTAGCTTTAACTCTGAGTCTTGTATAAGTTATTTTCACTATAAACATATGAAAAAATGTTATGGTTCCAAAAATAGTGGATTTTCTGCATCATACTTTGCTGAGTTTAATCGATTGGAATATAGTTTAAAAACTGATTCAGTTTATTATTTTCCTTTACAGATTTTCAGTATTAAACCTTCAGAAGAAACATTTACCTAAAAAAGGGTTTAATAACTGGAAAAAAGTAAGTAAAATATACATTTAGACAAATATTTTATTTTGTATAATAACTAATAGGTGCCTATTATATTTTTAATAAATTATTTTACAACTTAATGGGTCTAAGGTACTGTAAAAAGTTCAAAATCAAAATTTCAACTGCACTCAGCTACTATTCACCATAAAAATTCTAAGACAAAATGGTTTTTGCGTAAACAAGCAGAGCAGTCTGGTTCTATGCATACTTCATTGTCTAATTCCCACTGTAAAATATTAGTTAAAAATCAAAACTATATTAAAGGTCTCATTGATATTTTATTATTTCTTGCACGCCAAGGTCTAGCGTTTAGAGGCCACAATTAAAGCGACACTTCACTAAACCAAGATATAACTATTAACTAACTTATCTTATTTAATATAGAGTAATTTGTGTTATTTTCGTGTAGTTTTAATTTTGATATTCAAGGAAACTTTAAAGAGATGCTTCTTTCTGACTAAAATTCTAACTTCAATAATGTATTTAGTAATAAAATAGTTACCAAAATTTTAGCAATGATACAAAATGGTTCCTTTATTGTTCATCTTCATAGTATGTATTGGGTATTGGGTATTACCAATATGTTAAGCAATAAATTACAAAATACTAATGGGGCAATAGGTGAAGTAACTTGTCTTATTAATAGAATTATAAATACATTTTAAAATAGTAGAAATTCAGATTCATTCTTAGATATTTGGAATGAAATAGTTACATTTTATCTTCAAAATAATATAGATTTGAAAATTTCTTCTGCAATAGCTACATGTAAGTATTTTGAATACCTACTTTATAAAGTCAACATGATACCTAATATTAAACATAGATTATGAAATTTAATTTTTTTTTATAGTATCAAAGAGAAAAAGACAAGAGAACATTAAAAAGCATTAAAGGATTTTAATGTTACAACTATCACTGGTGCAGTTGATGGAGATATTCAATATGAGGATAATGCCAAAGAATATTGGAAAAAACATGTTTTTTATCCTGTGATTGATAGTATTATAGTTAATACGAAACACAGATTTTCACCAAGGAGGCTTAAGCTGTAATAGTTATCAATAAAATTCCTTTAGCTTTTACTTATATTTTAAGAGAATTTAACTTGTATTTAAAATAATACTTAATAATATGTTTACCTCAATACCACTTTTTTATTATTTCTTTTATACATACCACATACAGTGTACAATAATAAAATAATATTATAATTTAAAAATGAATATTACTTGAGGGACGAGTTTGGGGGCTGTGGGGTTCGGAGCCCCCACATTTTTAATTTATTTTAAATATGTTAGGGCTAAAGTCCCCCTTAACTATAACGTCTACTTACGCCTATGATGTGCACTGAGGTATGTCTAATCACAAACATCAAAAACTACAATAATATATATTTGTTTGACATTTAAAATTACATTTTTAAAATTATTTTTTAATCGTTACATACAATTTCAAATAATACGTTTGCGATTGTTTTTTCATTTGTAGGGTGGAACAAGTGCAGTCTCTAATATGATCCACCGTTGCGTAATTCTACAAAATTCTACAATAAACTCAATTATATTGATCTCTGTAAGAACGTAAGGCTTAAGTATTCATTTATTTAGCAGCTGTTGTCACTTGTCTGTTACTGGTTTACTACCCTGTCAATAGAATCACCATCTACAAGAGACAGAAGCCCACGACTGGACGACCGAGCCGGCGACAAAACACGAATGAAATGTAATAATATACTTTTAGTAGATAACGATCAACCGTTGTATAATACACGGTAAATACAACACATTATATTTGATATTCGCATTTGGAATAATTTTGATGTGAAAACAGACGGAATTTATAATCGTAATATACGTAATATTTAGTTATCTTTAATATTTATACATATATATATTTATATATTAATCGTAGTGTAAGGGGGCACAGCAGAACACTGACTGATAAGGCGGTATCATATATTATTATATTAATGATATATTAATTTTAAACATATAGGTAGTATTGTCGTATTGACTACGGGACACATAGAAAACTATAATAGAATTAAGGACTTTCTGTACATAAATAGATTGTATTTACTACCTAATTATTATTGGTTTTTTACTTTTATATAAAAATATAATGTGATATTATATTCAAAAATTGCTTTAATTAATATGAAGGACGTTGAAGTTTTTGTAAATAAAATATACAACATTGACCGTTGTAGTTTTCAACATAAAATATGCAAATTTTTCATTTATGCGCCCTCCCAGGAATTGCTATCGAGGCGTAGGCACCTTTCACACCATTTTTTAATAACTATTTGGGACTAATAATGGAAGGAATAATTGCACAAACTGAAAGTATCGCTACGAAACGCGCGTTGCAACTGAACACTTCAATGCTTATCTGTGTATATTTCGGACATGTGCGCGTATACAGGGTAATCGCCGTTACAGCGGCGTTAAACGCGCGTTGACAATAAACATGCATTATCATCTGTACGGTTATTAGAAATTGTATAGTAATTGTAAACGCGCGTTTAACGCCTTTCGCGCGAACTAGCTCTTATTCTCAATTCAGTAGCCACAACTGACACAACTCACAACATATACATTTATCCATATTGTACCGATGTATCCGCATGCAGTGTGGTCGTGTGGATACTTTAATTTTTTTTAATCTTGGAAAGACTGTGGTACATTTTAACAGCTGTTATTTAGCTAACTGAAAGTATTCAAACATAACTGATAATATTTTCGAGATGTCGCCTGTTGATCTCGTAAACAACTTCGCGATGTGGGTTTAGTAGTCTTGTTTGAAGTAAAAACGTGTTTCTATATTACTTCCATAGTTCTATGATGAAATACAAATCTAAATTCATCAAAAGTAGTTGGTAAGTTTATTATCTTTACATTCGTAATTTAACTAGGTATTCCAGAGTAGATTCCCAAGTGCAAATAGTTTACTGACTAAAGATAATGACATTTTTATATAATATAATAATTAGGTTATATTTATTAATATTATTATAGTTCAATAAGTTTTAAACTGCATACATATTAATAAGGTGATTCGAGATATACTGTTTATGGTATGTAAATTAAACACAAATAAGTTATGACTTTTAATATATAGTACCTATTGTGAATTGTATCTATATAGATACAAAGATGTATTTGTATAGTATATAGATGACTGTATTTTATTGCATATTATGAAATTATTGCTTTTTTTTTGTTAACAGATTAAAACCTACTTATTATTTTGTTATCGTTTTTATGTATTGTTGAGTTGTATGTATACAACTTGTAACAGTAAAATGTGCTCAGTGATCATAATTTGAAATCAATTCAAATCTGATTGGAGACCTTTGGATTGACATTAGAAGAACAGAGAATATCCTACTCAGTTGTGTCAATAAAAAACTGAGTAGGTATATATTATTGATCCTCAGTGTTATTCCTCATTAACTTGCACAGTTTTTTGTATCATTTATAATTTATATTTTAAAACATAATGGATTCTTCTTCTAGGTGAGTTAAACTTATTATTTTTATTTAAAATTAATTAATTTTGATTAGTAAAATCAATTTTTTTTTTTAGAAAGAGATAAAGATTCTTTATTTATCATTTTGATTTGATTGTACAGAAGGAAACTATTTTGATTTTTCCCTCCTAAATGTGTTTTTCTGTTACTTTTTCAGATAAAAATATTTCATTGCTAATTTTTGCATCATTTTCACAAGCACTTCATTTATTTCTATTGTTTAAATAAATTAGTTGGGTTACTTATTAGGTTATTATAACTAGAAATAAGTGGAATTCTTGTGATTATCCATACAAATTATTTTTTTTAACGATAATAAATCTCAATAATGGTAAAATAATTGTTAGAATACTGCCAATTTTTTTACACCAAATTCATCTTGCATATTTTAGAAGTGATAAAAAAAAGCTTTTATTTTATTTTGTTATATGCACTTATTACAATACTGTTTATATTAATTTTAATTAAATTTGATTCAAATAGATATGTTTTTTCTAAATTAATTTAATTTATAGTTCAGATTTAGATAATACTAATTCAATCTTGTATAAAATGTATGCATATTCAAAACAAGGGATTCTTAAAATTAAAAACAATCTGGATGTTATCTACGGAACAAATTCAGAACAAAAAAAGCTAAATATGAATCTGCTTTATAAACACATATCTGTAAGTTATTAATATTGTATATCTAAATAATATAATATTGTATATTTGTTAGCTCAATAGTTATTTTCAATTAAATAACACAATTGTTTTTATTTTTAGCGGTTTTTTGATGAGTTAGTTTTGGAATCTGACAAAGACAAAAATGCAATCATTAAAAATATTGAAAATTTATTATCTGAAAAGGAAATTTTAGAAACAGTAAGTCTAGATATTCTTTATTATAAAATTTCAATCCCAAATTGTTATATCTACATTAATATAAATAATAATACTAAGTGTTTTTTATTACTTTAGGAAGATTTCTTTTTATAATTATCAATCTGTCTTGCTTGGCTTTGCCTGTGCAATAAAAAAGTTTCTTAATAATGTTGATAGATAAATTATTATTATATTATATTACTATAGATATCTGCACAGTAGAGATCAGCACAGGCCGTTTTTTCGGCCCGATCCGGCCCAAAACTTAAACTTATAAATTGTCCTCGTCCAGGCCCGGTCCATATTTTATTTTTTTTAAGTCTAGCCTGATCAAGCCCGTTTGTAAATAAAAATATACATTGACTTTATTTCCTTTCAATATTAACTTAGTAGACAAAAACATTTCATAAAAACAATAAATATATTATAAAGAAAAGTATGCTAAATTTTATTAAAATTTAAATATAATTCTAAACCTGCCAATTAATTAATTAATAATAAAATATAATTAAAATACAGAAATCAACTTATAATAATTACATTTTATTTTTGTAAAAATCATTTAAAAACAAAAAGGAGTTTACAGTATCACCTTTGAAAATAATAAAATGATTAAATGAAAAACATAGCCGCACAATAATAAAGATAAAACTGTAAAATATTGTTGGTATATATTATTAATTTTACCAGTGATCTATTTATAAATATCATACAGTCTAGTATTAAAATTATTTATAGATATAGAATACATAATGTTACAAATTAAATTAATTAGTTTTATTTTTGACTAACCCGGCCCAATGAATAATATTACGATCCCACCTATAACCAACTCGAAATATTTAAATTATGTTCCGGCCCGGTGTGGGTTGGGCCGGGTCGGGCTGGCCCGGCCCGTGCTGATCTCTACTGCATAGCACTAGTTTTGCAATACAAAAATTTATAACAATGTTTTTTTTTCATCCTTATTACCAAGGTAACAGGTATCTGTTCACTGTTAGCATATTTTTAACTTTTATTATCTCTACTACTGTAATACATCATTTATAGACATGTGTAATATGCATTATGTACATAATCACTTCTTTTTAATTATTTTATACATGTATTTTATTTTTATTAATTTGGTTATTGTTTTTTCATTTAGGAACTTAATACCCATATTGTGATTAAAAGTCAAAATAATGATATGCCTTTAATTGCTCTTCAAATAAATATTGAAACTGCATTGCAAGATTATAGAAACATAAAATTAGAATATATGAATGAACTTCATAAACTCCAAGAAGAAGTATTATCTTAGTAGAAGTCTTATATTAAATTGAGTTGTGTTATTTGTTTTATATTTATTAAAAAATTATAATATTATGTTTAGGAAAAACAATTATGTGAAATACTCAATATGAAACCAAAATACTCTGAATTTAAAGCTACCCCTTGTATAGCCCAATTAGAATGCATTAAAGATTATCTTGTTGATTTGAAAAATACCAAGGTACTATTTCTTATAATATAGTAATGGTTTGTATTAAATAGATATTATTTATTGTGTGGTTAAACTTGTATTTAGAATAAACGTTGGGCCACTTTTTTGAAACAAAAATCTAATGTTGAATCAATATTCAGAGCATTGGGAGACATACCAATTTTACAGTTTGATAAAATGGTGTTAGGTGATCCAAATCAGTTTCAGCTGTCTGGATCTAACATGCATGCACTTCAAGTAAAATGCAAACCTCTTTAAAAATATATTTTAGACCAATGCAAATTAAAATTTATTTTTTTTAGCAATTACTAAATCGTTTAAATGATCAAGTGGAGAATCAAAAATGTATTGCAATGGAATTAAGAACAAAATTAAATTCATTATGGGATCTCTTGAAAATTGATATGAGTTATAGAGTCAATTTTGTTAATTCTAAAAAAGGTTATGACAAAAATGTCATTGATCAGGTATATATAGGATTAAACTTTTTGTCTATTACAACTATTACATTTTTATTGATATTTTAAAATAATTAAAATTATATTATCTAGTCTCAAATTAATTGCAATGTAATCAACTATTTTAATTTTTGAATTAACACACATATTATATAGCTTAAAATGGAAATTTCAAAATGTGAGAAGTTAAAAAAAAAAAATATTGCTCTATGTATTGAAAATTTACGTGGAGAAATAAATTATTTGTGGAATAAATGTTATTTTGGCGAAAAGCAAAAGAAAGAATGTCATGTTTATTTTATGGAAAAATCAATTAATAAAGAGTACAATGAATATCTTATAGAATTATTGGAAATTGAAGTTGATCAGCTTAAGAAGTTCTATGCTGATAATTCGTAAGAATAACAGTATTTTCATTCAAAACAAATTTAAAATATTCTAAATAATTAAACATAATTGTTTTGGTTTTTTTTTTTAGTTCCATCTATTATTTAATCGAAGAAAGAAACCATTTATGGAAAAAGATGTTAATGATACAAAAACTAACTAATGATCCAACTAGATATTGGCAAAATAGAGGTGGGCAATTGTTAAAAGAAGAAAAAGAAAGAAAGATTATACAAAAGGTAAATCAAATTTATCTTTTACTAGTTATTCTACAAACTGAAATTGATTTATTGTTTCACATATTTGTTGGGTTCTTTTTCTTTGTATAGGAACTACCTCGAGTCGAACAAGAATTAAAAAGTTTATTACATTCCTTTGAAGAACAAAACGGTAAATCTTTCCTGTACTACGATGAAAAATTAATACATTTTATCGATAATCAATGGGATGAAATGAAAAGTAGTAGAGAATTTTTACAACCAACTAAGGTAGTTATATAGAATAATTTAATAATAATACAATAACCTGTATTTAATGTAAGAATTTCTCCAAATAACAGACTGGAGTCAAGCCTCAAACACCTCTTTTAACAACCCCTTGCAGCAGGAAGAATATTGTTACTCAAACTAAAAATCAAACTTGTAGGTTTACTACAAATGGAAACAAATCCTATAGTGCCCGCCAGTTTGTTGAGCGTAACAATGCTATGGTAATGAAATAATTGAACAACACTTATTGTTGGATTTTACTGGAATTTTTATTTAATTGTACTTATATAGGTATTTTAGGTATTTAGACTGTATTTATCAGATAAGACTTGTTTATCTAGCTGTAACATAAAAAAAAGAGATAGTACTGCTGAACTGTTGTCACTTGCTACTGTTGTAGGTGGGAAGTTGGTTAGGTAGGCACCTTTCTACTGACTCACCACTATACCTAAACCGACATTGTTTATTCATTTTCACCACGAGATCTTTTTTTTTTCATTTAGGGGTACTTCATATTAAAAGTACCACTTTCTGATTTTTGAATAAAGTATAGTTTAGTGAGATTTAGTGATAGGAGATTGAATTTAATTCCAACAAATTTGGTTTGGTACCTCATTCCCAAGTTCCCACCATAGTTTGACACCATTCAATTGAGAATTAGTTGAGAATTCATTGATCACTACCAAACTTTAGGATTGGTTCCTAGGGAATGAATGGGAAAAAGATCTAATGAACATTTTAAAGCGAAATCCCCTATCATTTATGAATCCTTCCCATTGATACTAAATTTGGTGAAAATGAACAAGAGGTACCCCAGGGACCATTTCCAAAGTTTGACAGTGATCATACAAATTCCAGGTTAATTCCCTTGAAAGAGATTTTATGATGTCAAACATAGGTGGCTGTTCACTCATCCACTTTATGACATCACACAGATATCAATTCTCATAATCTCCTGGGATAATAATTTTTTTAACACAGGATTTTTTCAAAATATGATTAAAATTCTACATTACATTTAAATTCTTTAGTTCTTAATTCCGATTTGAAATTAATTAATCAGGTTACCTATTGGTTTATTATTTCCAAAAATTAGTGAAATTCTTGTAATTTTATATTTTTACCAAAAAGTAATCTGAAAATACTACTATGCATTAGTTGTATATAAATTAATAATTTAATGAAGTAATTTATTAAAATATTTAAATGATTACTTTCAAATGTTGTATTTCATAAATTACACAATTAGTCTTAATTGTAAATTTATTTATTTTAGACAATCCCAAGAAGAGAACTAACTCATCAAAATAATAATGCAGGAACATTAGTACAACTCACCTCAACTCCATTTAATAATCCAAAGTTAACATCTACTCCACAGTCTCCAACATTTGATGAAAATGGATTAGCAGGATCCTACAAAGCGTTCCAGGTACGTTACATGAGACAAGCCTTTAGTTTTTTCTATGGCTTTGTTTCACCACTACAATAGTGCTTATTTTCTAAAACAAAATTCATTTTTTTTTTAATGTATATTTTCAATAAATTATAATTTTCCATGCTGTTGTAAAATTACCTAATATATTAAATATTAATTTTTTACCTTGCAATTGCTTATTACGATAAATTATTATTATTTTTTTTTATTTCAATTTATCTAAAATATAATTTTTTAAATGTTTCAGAAACACCAGAAATTTAAAAAGCGATTGTTATTTACAAGTGAATTGAGAGAACAAAATACCAAACAACCACAGAGACCATTAATGGAAACTCCTATAAAAAGATCTCAGATTCCAATATCTACCAAATCTAAAACAACACCAAATACACGCTACTTTACTCCCAGTATAAAAACATTGAAAAACAATGTAAACTAATTTTTTTTAATTATTTTTTATAATTGTCTAATTATCAGTTAACTTTAATATTAAAAGTTTCTTTAGGGCTGGAAAAAAATATTTGTTTATTTGAGTATGTATATTTTGATACTTAATTCATATATTATACATGTCATTATTACAAACAATGTAAATTTGAAAAAAAAAGTACAAAATTTCTAATACAAATACAAACATTTGTATATTATTGTTTTGAATTTTACTATTATTAACAACATTTTAATATAATTTAGTATGTTTTGATATAATGTATTTACTTGCATGTTTAATTTTACTTTTTTTTTATGGAATAAATAATTAAATAATTAATAGTTTTATACAACATTGTATTGTAATTTTAAGTTAAAACTAAATGTTGAAAAGAAATTACAAACTATATTATTTATTTTATACTGACAAGTTTATAGACATTAATTATAGTGACATTTTCATATTAGTAGAATGTATTTATATATTGTATTAAATAGTGTAATAACTTGAAATAGTTATTTAAATAATACACTACCTATACAATTTTTTTTTAACACAATCATTTTTTATAAAACAAATCTCAGTCAAAACATCACATTGTTACATAATACTACTAGACTAATTTTCAATTTTTTTTTTTTTTACTACTTTAAATTTAAATATCATTGAAAATAATAAATCAAGTGTTAGCAAAGGTCAGTGATAACAATAAAACACTCGCTTCTCTTTTATAATACAATAGTAAATTAATTTCTGTAAAGTGGTCAGGGCAAGGAAATACCCTTTGAAAAAAAATTAATTACCGAGCTCTAATGATAAATAGTACAGAAACAGTGAAGCACGGGAAACATGGAGACATGTGATCATTATTATTAGATTCAGATTGTAGTGAGGGGGTTATCTTAATTTAACTGATGTGTGTTTTTTTATGTTTTGAAAGGTTGTAATATTCATGATTTTCATCAAAAATTTGATTTTTAAATTCTTATAAAAAAAATCTATGTGATACTAAATTTTTTCTGTAATGAACCCTCTGTTAATGTGCTAAGCATTACTGTTTGGTCTAACAACTTTATCAACAGAGTACCTACAGAATAAAACTCACTTCAAACTCGACAAATTAAAAAAAAAAAAATCAAAATCAAATCAAATCAAAAATGGCTAAAACATTTTTAAAATTTAACCTCGTTGTAAGGCAAATGTAATTCTTCTGTCCAAATTGCATGTCTTTAAAAGACAAAAAATATTTTTAACTGAATCACAATAAAAAACTAAATTTAAAATAATATAAGCAATATAATTTTATTTTCGTGAATTTTCCATTTATTCCTAATCAATATCCCAATCAGAAAAGGTGCTACAGTTTATAGGTAAATCGGAAGATTTCTGGTAGAATTTTTGTATATGCTAAAAATAATCTGTTCTAGGATAATAGGGACGGGTGCAGCCACTGTTATAGGTAATTTAATGTATACCTGTAAGCAATAACAAACCATTGCTAACGAAAAGACGATTCTGAGCTGAGTTCAGTTAATAGTGATGCTTTGTCAACAATAGATATGTCATATTATGGTAAAATCATTGAATAAGCATTGCATATCTTCTTTAATAATATTTGCTTAATACTGTACCGTTTTTCCCGGTTTTTCACATTTTCAGGGAAAACCAAAAAAGTCGAAAAATTATCTCTTTAAAGTACCTCCCCAATCAGATTTTCTTTCAGAAAAGGTGCTACACTTAAAAATCGGAGCTAGATTTCTGGTAGAAAAGTTGCGCACAGATGCTCCACTTAGAATCTAAAATATAATATATAAGATATAATGGACTGGCCCAAAAGTACCCAAACATAAAATTGAAAACCGTTTGGCACTCCATGGAAACCACGTACTGTACTCGTATATTTTACTGTCCATGGTCATTTAATGTCTGACGCGAGAAACCAAATTTATAACGTCGATTAATAGAAGGAAATGATCGAAAAACGATCGCGCCCCCACAATAATAATAACTCATCGACGTCCAAAAAGAAAGTGAAGGGCTATCGAACTGCAGGGTCCGTGTCGCGCGGTAAACCGGACAAAACAAATGGGCACCAGACCCGCTCGGTGACAAGAGGTCTCGATGGCATGGTCGATCTGAGACGCCGCAATAGAAGCCGTCCGCGTAGGTCCCGCAGAAAAAGCAGTAGGAGGAGGCGGTCGTTATCCCGGAGGTCTCGGCTGCGGTCGAGTAGTCAAAGTACGCGCAATTACGAGGATAACGGCAATGACTGCACAGAGAACACTTCAGCAGAAACCGGCGAGGCAGTAGCCCACCGGATGAGACGGCAGCGGAGGTCACGCCGAGTTACCAACGACATTGAAAACAATTCAACGGACCACAGATCGTCGTCGTCCAGTAGCAGCAATCCCCTCCCTGCCAATGAGGAAATATTTATATACTTTTTTTATTCAAATCTAATCAGCAAAAGAGAAAATACATGGGACGAGGTCCTGTAAGGTTTAGACCGAGAGGAACTGTAGCTGTTCGTTCAGTTCAGGAGTAGACGAGTTAACGAAAACAAAATATCAGATTAGTCATTATGATGATATTTTTTCTAAATAAACAAGATCCATTTTAATTATTTGTAGCTGAAGTTATTTATCGATAAATGTAATAATATTGTTCCCCAATTATTCCTATTATTATTCATTTACGACTATAATTCGTACCATGGGTAGGCTGTGGAATGGAGTCATGAGTGATATTTGATTTGAGAAATTATTTAATATCCCCCCCCCCCACTTCCCTTGAAAATATTAATTCTTAATATATTATACAAAGTGTCCTACAGTGTTATTATATTATTAAAGAAAATGAATAATACATATTATGTAATTATTTAACCACCATAATGTGAAAATATATATTGTTGCCAATCAACACTAACAATTAACCGCACTCTGCTAATAATCGTTTTTCGTTAGCAATGGTTAATCGTTGCGTACAGATATACATTAAATCTCCCATCCACCTTCCTAAATTCTTACCTACAACAGTGGCCCGCCCACATGCAAAGTATGTCTGTCTTATTTCGTTGTATTTCCAAGATAAACAGTATTGTAATACTAAAGACAGCAGTGCCGCAGGCCCGTAATCATTTTTTTTTTTCCATAATGCTGTAGTGCAGTTTACATATATTCATTATGTTAATAAAATGTATTATTAGTAGTACTATTATAAGTATTATAAAATATTTCGCTTGATATTATTTTATATAATAATATTTTATAAATCACTAATTGTAGAAAGAAAACATATTGTCGACTTAATGTATTAATGTGTCAGACCCGATGTATTCCCGACTATCTACCTGAGTAGTGCGTCTCGTAAAGGTGTGCAGTCGTAACACACGAAAAGAGTTATTAGAAGTAAAAGAAAAAGACGGTTTATTAATACGAAATAGTTAAACAAATCATTTATAACTAATGATCATAAAGTTAGAATGAAAGTACAGTGTATATATAGATTCAACACTTAGGCATGAAATTGGTACAACTGATCTGGTATTCAGGATCTCCTGCGTAAAAAAAAAAAGGAGGCGTGCAGTTAATTCACCTAAATACTGACTGCCGAGCCATGACCAACGGCCCCTGGCCAACAGTTGCTAATTTCTGGCGACCGAGGGTTGGGATTCGCTCAGTCGGCGTTTTACATGGGAGCGCGTTGGCGTCACCAGGTCGTTCCCACAGTTACATAATACTTAATATTATATACATACATACATAAAATAAATGGTCTACAATTATATATAGCCGCTAATACCTCCCCCAGCGTCAGATGTAGCAGTCTTTGCGACTTTACCATCTTACAATAATTTCCCATTACATAATATATTATGTTATACAATATCTAAAGCAATATAGTAAATTAATTTGTGAATAAAAAATTATAAAATATATAAAAATAAAAAATAAATAAATGAATAAATGCGTCGCCTGTAAAATTACTTTACATATTTATTAATACACGGATGCACAAGTTGTCTAGATTGTACTTTAAAGTGGTTATTTTATTAAATTGTCGACGCTATTTTTTAAATAAATGCACTTAAATAGTGGAATAAAACGTAGGAAAATAGTATTTTATTATTTTATAAAAACACAGACAATGTTTTTTACCAGAAAAAATGATTTAATCGAAAAATCACAAAATACTTTTTTTGTTGCTTTTTTGATTTATTTTCTTACAGTATCATTGTCAAAACTTTTGAACTTTTTAGGAATTTTAATTTGTGGTAGTTTTTTTTGCTGTAATTCGGTTATAAATACATGTAGAAACTTGAAACTTGGTAATAATACTTAAATAGGCATTATATATTATATTTAATCATATTTGTTTAATGTACCGATTTTCATGTTTTTACCTGGTATTTCATATTTGATAAAAAAACTCTTGAGAAAATCGAAAAATGGCTTCTTTAAAATATCTCACGGATTAAATTTCCTTTTAAAAACATTAACATCATTATAAATTGGTGTAAAATTGCTGATAGAAAAGTTGTCTACAGGAAAAAAAATATAATTTTTGTAAAACCATAAGCTTCTTCGCTCCACTCAGAATCTAAAATAACAAATATTAGCATTATTTACATGTATATTTTTATATTTATTATTGGCTAAATTAATAAGAATTATGAAAATTGGGCTTTTATCTGACCTTGAATAAAAAAAAAATTAACGAAATCTGAATATTCTATTAGACGTGAGAGTTTTTCCTGTAAGATATGTTTTTGTACTAAAAATTCACCGGCTCTGATGCCCTTATCGTTGACAATTTCAACTCACTTATTATTAAAATCTAATCTGTTTATTTAGAAGAAAAAAATACACTTAGGAAATGGCCCACCGGATAATCAACCGGCGGCCCAATCAATCCCTGGTCATCATAATGCAAAATCCTAATTTTTTAATAAAATATTTTCGTCAAAATTTGATTATACGAATTGTATAAAAAAAATACTACATTCATATACATTAGGATTGGTTTTAGGAGAACTGTAGCTAAAGGCTTTTTTTTTAGTGAATATCAGTTACGTATCCATTCTACCCTTTAAATAAAAAGCTTCACGAGCAGATAGATCAAACCTTTTCCTTAACTTTATTTCTCTTCTCAGTTACTCCTTCCCTCACCAGTGAGAGTATTTTCATAAAATATAATATTTTCTTTCAAAATCTACCTGTAGTTACAAATTCAATAATGAATTGTTTTTCTCAGTGAACGAATTCTTACTCTATTGGGTCTCCAATAAATTTTACTGTGTATCCATTTAGCCACAGAAAACCTTTTTAAAAAGCATTGTTATAGCCATTATTGATTAATATTTGCTTTATAAAACCTACTAGTAAGTAATATATATATTATGCAATAATTCAATTGAAACTATTTACAGCGACCTACAGTATAATAATTAATAAATGTTTAACTGAACTACACACCTCCATATGGGAATTGTTTTTATTATTTCTAATAATTTTGCTAACGAATACTTAATAAGACCACTATTATCTAATCAAATAATACGTTTTTGGTAGTGTCTTTTTCTTATGTAGTTAAGATAATCAAATTGATATATATCTTAGTTGTTACCTGACACACGACCATAGTTAACGTACGTGTACGAGTATATAGTATATAGTGTCAGTATTAATTAAAATATTAGTATGCCTTTAATAAATAAATATAATAAATAAAATAACAGTTTTTTATAAATTAACGTAGTGTTGTTATTTCACAAATAGTATTTAGTTATGAGTTAGTGAGAACATATTAATATTACGAATTTATTTATATGATAAGATTACTTAAAATACTAAATCTAAACAAAATATAAGTTGAATATAAGTTTGTTTTGGGGAATACAACTCTGAAATCTCTTTTACCAAACAAATTAATTTTGTTTACCTCATTAATAATGAATCATTTTATTCTCGGGAGTTACGATCAATAGAATTATTGTAGTAGTAAGAAGTTAATAGTGAATTTGAATAGAGAATATAGTACATAGAACAATAACACAAGTACTGAGGAACATGAACATTTAAAAATTGCAGCAATTCGGGACAGGATATCAGGCTATTTACAAGTTTAGACATAAAACATATATCAGCAAATCTGAGTCTAGAAACAAGATATTCTAAACAGAGGTTAGCCTGAATGGTTGTTAAATAAAATGTATTTAAGAAAGATTTATGATTATTACTAAACTGTCTTTTACACTGCGTTTCTTATCATAATATTTACATGACATTTTTAAAACTAAAACTAATAATTTATTTTAAACTTAACTTATACAATACTATGTTTATTAGGTTTAATAATAATATTTTTAATAAAGTTTACTGCATTATTCTGGTAATATTGAGCAATATATTGTGTAGATACTATCATATGTCGGCCACCGTTAAATGCATTTATTTTTGTAATCATAAAAAAATGTATAAAACGATGCTGGACTTATGATAGAATTAATTAATTGCATATTTTCATTAGTTAAAAATTCTATAAAATCAAACAGTCATAAAAAAGTATAACAAACAGATTAAAAATAAAAAACACCACTATAAACATTATAAAAAGAGTAAATGATGAATTAAAACTCTAAAACTTGGCTATCTAATTGTATAACATAGTATGCGTCACTTTTATTGAATTTGGTTTTAGATCCTAAGCGGAGTGAGGAATAATATATTAGTTTCACTTTAATGTAAAAATGACAAGAGATCTATTCTGTTGTATTTTGAATCTAGTCTGTCATGTAGTTTTCCAAATAATTAGAGGAACCGAGAAAAAATGGAAAAGTTTATGGCAATAACAGTTGCATTATATTTTTTAATTTTGATTTTTTTTTTTTTTGTAATTCGGTTAAAATAATCTTAAAGACCTGAAATTTTAACGGAATATTTATATCAGTCTTTTTTGAATATGGTAAATTTCTTTAAAACATTGTGACGATTTTTAAGTTATTTATAATCATTTGACATTTTTATTTTTTATTTAGATTTTATTTGATTTTATGTGGATGCAATTGTTTGGCTTAACAGAAATACTTTTTAACATTAAAATTTAACACAAGGTTCATTATAAGTTGTACTTAGTGGTAAAAAAAAGAAATACGTTTAGCTATTGAGCGTAATGTACCGGTGTAGCAGTCTTTTTCATAAGTATAATTTTAACGAAAATCGTAATAATTACGACATTTAAGAAACATTTATTATTGTATTACAGAACTTCTCTCAGATTCATTTTTCATTAACTATGGTTTATCGTTGTATACTGATACAAATTAAATAAATGTATGTTTCCTAAATTTCTAATATCACTCCTCTAACTGTGGCACGCCTATTACCAGTATCAGTTTACAAAAAAAAAAAAAAATAATAATGTTAATCTACAACTTAGAAGTACTACATATTCTAGAGCAGTAAAAAATGCAAATGACGTTCACCTTCTATGTTAAACAAATAGACTCTCTAATTGATGATTAACATATACCAGGTATTAGTAGGTTATTACATTTACGGTTTAGCGTTATTGAATTGAAAATACAATTACAGTATAGAGCTTTGTCATCACATGATGGTCATACAGCCCATATGGTATGATTAATTATAATGAATATCCATATTTCAATCTAAAATCAACCGTCTATAATTACTAAAAACTTACAAATTTGAGTTTATTTTTTACAAATTTCTAATTTCTAATTTCATTTTTTTCATTTTGGTTTTCAAATAAACGCGGAAAAATTGGAAATAAAAAACAACAAAATTTGAATAAAATATAACATTGCCTTTTGCAATTCGTATGAAAAATAAAACATCAGAGTGGTAAATAGCAGGAAAAAGTTACCTGGTATATTTCAATCATGGCTGAACTGATTATACAACATTGAAAATTATAACAATATTTGAACTTAAAATATTTTAACAATATTTAAACTTAATATATTTTAATAAAAATAAATATCGGTATAAATCTATTTACACATAATCTATACCTGGTTTGAATAAATAACATGAGTTTTAATTCGCCAAATAACCAAAAAAAATGTGAAAAACCGATGACGAGAATTGATGATGTTATTTGAGACGACAGACATATGTACATTGTGGCATGCTTTGAAATTTGAAGCCAACTGGAACCACTGGAACACTAAAGAGAATGTCACAGTAATATTTACCGTGTCACTAATATTTATCTATATAACGGGAATTGTAGACAAAATGTAAATTCATATTTCCAATAGTATTCAGGATCTAATAGACTTAAAATAAAAATGTCACCAAGTTAAAGATATCATTTAATATGTTTTCATACGGGGATTTTTCGATATCTATTTCCCACGTAATATTACAATATTATTATATATAATATATTCAGATATTCCAATTTAAAAATTGTTAAAAAAAATTACTTTTTAACTTGATAGCAAATTGTATTATGAATATATTAAAAACTTCCCTGATGAAAGCATAGTATATTTTTTTATTATTAATTTTGTAAAACAATTTTTTTTTAAATAGTATTAGATCCTGTGTACTATTAAAAGTACAAAAAATATTTTTGTCATATTACCCGTTAAATATATTGATACGGCAAATATTATTGTGACACTTCGCCGTCTTATTACCTATAAAAAACATACGAATTTAGAATTTTCCTTCGCAATAATACAAATTATAAGCATACTCATAACTTACCAAAGCCGAAACTGTCAATTTTTTTCAAACAGTGTACATCAATATTCAAAACCTATAAGTAAAATTTAAAATAAAAATTAATTACTACACACATTACAAAGTACCGTTAGTTTTAAACTTCCAATAACTTTAAACATTGAGTTTCATTAATAAACGTGGTAGGTATATCGTAAGAAATTATAAAGGAATTAAATCAACTTATTTAGTACCTTTTTCATATAAAACTGAAAGAAACTTACAATTAAATTACCCCTTAAAAGTTAAAACAATCAAAATTACCTTTATAGTGTCTACCACGACCCGGCAGATGATAACCAATGTTCAGTTCGAAATCGGTCGGAATTCGTAATACGTTAATCGAAGTTTGATACTCAATTTGGTTTGTAATTTGAACTCCGAGTTCATCCTCCACGATGGGCGACCTCTATTTTTACATCGTCATTTTCAAATATATCAACTCTAATAGTCTACGTTTTGGTTCCGTAACTTATTTTCAATCCAATTTTATCCAAAATTTCTACTGCACTTCTGTAAGATTGCTTTCCAATGCTCGCATACTATTATCCAAAAACTAGATATTTCATCGTAGGTACAGTTTTAAATCCTAGTTATCAAAATATTACGCCCCTAGAAAATGGGTTAAATATTTGAGTTTTGAGTTTTAAAATTGAAAATAAAATTAAATACTATTGGAAATGTGGTTTAAAAAGAATGATATTTATTTTATTTATAGTTAATATTAATACATCAAATATGTCAACATATAGATATAAATATAATAGAGTAATTTAATAATTTTTTAATAAATATTAATGTATATACTTAGCAAGTATTAATGATTTTAATATAAACTAATATAAAACTCGTAATATGTGTTATAATAAATGAATATAATTATAAGTTTTCTAAAACAGACAGGCGATAGTGCGGTATCTTTAAAATAATCTTATTTTTTAAACGCGTAGATATTATAGGTTTGGATCGTTAATCAAAAATCAAGATTTTCTTTTAAACATGTTATTATGCATATCGTTTAAAATATTTTATCGTTCAAATTTATCACTCGTTATTACATAGATACTCTCAATACCTATATATGATGTGATAATATCGATCTTTATCTTTTCTTTTCTTTTTAGTTATATTTAATACGTTTATAAAAAATAAGTCATTTCATGCATAGAAATTGAAACGTGTCCGGTATCGCCTGTCACAATAATTATTAATTTATTTTAAAATATCGAAATCTACGTACAATTAATCATGTATAAATAATAATAATAGTATATTAACTAATATATTTGTAATGCAGAATCCGGAGGGGGAAACAAATGTATAACTTTGTTTATGTACTATATGTTTTTAAATCTAACCAGCCAACTTATAGAAGCAATAAATTGCCTTCATCCCCTCGTCGTTAAGGGCCGGCTTCCCTTGAATTTATTAAAAAGCGATATTGTACGGTTGCAGCCTCAAAATCCTTACAGTATAAAGCAGCGTTTGGTATTGCATTCGATTATTGATGTATAATTTTATCCAGAATTTCCGATTTTATTATTGTTTTTTATATTGCATATTATTTTTAGAGCGATATAATATATTATAGAATACTTATATACTTGAAACCGCGTAAAATAATAGGCTACACCCGCCGCAAAACTTATAGTGACATAAAAGTGTTATAAAAACATGCTTTACTAACTCGTATGTATACTAAAATAGCATTAAAAGTATAGAATAATTGTAGATAAGTATTTAATATTTAATAAAATGTAAAACTTATTAACGTTTATATAAATTGAATATAATAATAATGATAATAATAAAATTGGAGACGTCAGCTATATTCGACTACAGATAATATAATAATATACTTAGAATACATTTTTCACACAAAACTTTTTTTTGAATTAATTAAATTTTAGATAGAAGTGTTATACTGTTATAAATATTATGTATAACACTTATAATATTGTTATAGAAGAGATAAATTACTAAACGCACTACACATTATAATACTAAGACTGCGTATTTTATAAATCTATACTGCTTAATATATTATAATATTATTAAACACAATCTACAGACAGACAAAACTTAATACAATGTAATAATATAATAGTATAAATTAATTTTCTATTCGGTAGGTAGCGTAAATTGGCACATCGCATTCGCCGTCATAAATAAAATACCCAGACAATATAAAACTATTTATAACAGTATAATTATATTTATCGCCGATAGAACATCTAGAATTTATCTAGCCCACCACAATAAGGCCAGTTTACGCCACAGATTCGATTGGATAATAATAATTAATATAATAAAAATATGTTATATTATAATATAATAATAATATGCAAGGTGTCCCGCAAAGATGTACCCATTGCAATATCTCCTGAGATAATAAAGATAATCAAAGTCTGTTGTGTGTTACTCGCAGGGATAAGGACTACAAATATTTACAATTTGTATTTAAATTTGTATGTTTTGGTAAAAAAACTAAAAAACTAACTTTATTTTATTATTTTCGAAAACTTAGAAGATAACTAGCTATTTTATAGAATTTATTCTTCTAAAAATGTTGACGTTTCAACTTTTATGTTCATTAAGTTTGTGATATTGAACAATTATTTAAAATTAGTAGATACCTATAATTTTTATGCAACAGACTTTTATCGCATTCACTAATTGATTATTATTATGGTTAATTGACTATATGCTTTTTTTCTCTGAACATTAAAAAATTATTAAAAATCAGGAATATACTAAAAATAAAAAGCTCATATAAAACACATTCAAATTTTCAAAAGAATAATAAAATATAATTATCTTTGAAGTTTTTTAAAAATACAAAGTATTTAAAGTATTTTGTTTTGTAATTAAAGATATTACAATGGATATATTATCGAGGGACACCTTATATTAGATATACTATATTTCTACTACTACTAAATATAAAGCTAATAATTTTGAAGCAGTGATCTCCGAAACCATATTTTATTTATGGTGAACAAAGTGTTAAAACGAATATGGGATTTTGGGTATAACTAAAATATAATAATAATAATAACTTATTTTATTTCTGTTGGTATTCTATGTTCTATAAATGGAGTGTTATAACAATAATCAATGAATATTTAATAAATAAAAAAATAAATAAATAAAAAATCAAAATTACTAAAATTGTTCAAAAATAATATTGAAAGAAGGGTAAAAAGTCATTGACAATAAAAATAGAATTGAGCAAAATAAGTTGGGTAACTTTAGAAGACGAATAAGGAAATGACAGTTGTAAAACAATATTAAAAATTAAATAATAATATAGGTAAGTATAGAAATAAGCATTTATAATTTTTATTATAAATTTAAAATAGAAAAAAATAGGAATGTAAGTGGTATTATTGAAAAAAAGTTAAGAATTAAAATAAGTATAGATAATAAGAGTTGAGTTATATAATAAACAATAATAGTAATAAATTGACTGTATAACAAATAGGTAGGTATTTTGAGAGAAAAATTCAAATAGAATAGATACAGAACGGAATACATTTTTTAATTAATGTGATTATTCAATAACTATACTAGGCTCGGTGGGATAATTTTTTAACAAGACTTCATAAGCCTTTTGATATTCCGAAGACAACATTATGTCATAATCTAGGGCAACGTCAATATGTAATCCATGATCAACCATATACCTGTAATAAACGAATTTGTTTGACAACTCAAATTATCTAAGTCGATATCAGATTATAAAGGTGTCCACCATTACCACAGTAAATATATTAAATATTTTATTTTTATAATACGGAAAATCGCGTTAAAATTGTTTAGTATTCAATATGGGTTTTTTTTATTGAAACTATGATTAATAAATAAAATGAAACATTAAAAGATTCATAGCGGGCATTTTTTAAAGCAGATATTATTCCGTTGAGAGATAAAAAAGAGCAATGAAAAAGAATGTGGGATTTATCGCAAATAGATTTGGAAGTATGGAGAGTGCATAAAGATAAAGTATTAAGAGATAACTTATAGGAATGGGATGGGAGTGTGGCCTATTCTTAAGAAAAAAAGGAAATTGCTTTCCTACAAGTTTTAAATAGTGGAATCAAGGCTAGGACGATATAGTATTCTTATACTAGATGACAAAATTAGGAGGCAGATTAATCTATTAATTTAACCACATTCTGCCCATATGGGTTTTAAGCATCTGACAAAAGTCAGTTCAACTGTTTAAGGAATTAGTGTTGGTTAAGGACTGCATAACAATGAAGACAATTTAGTCAATAAATCAGGTCTTGGATACTTAAATGGCTGAGTGCAAGTCAGCAGATGTTAGACAAGAGTAAAAAATATTACAAATTTGAGATATAATTCTCTATTATTATTACTACCACTATTATTATTATTTGCAGTTTTTAATATTATTATTTTATGGTATAATATTGAATTCAATATTAATGTTTTATTGAGGGGTGATATGAAAATTAACAGAACATATTTAATAGATGATTTTAATGCCATCAAATCATGTGGGTATGGAACATAAAATATTAACTAAATACTTACTCGAAAAATCCGTTCAAGAATTCGACAACGGGATGAATTTTAGCTTCACGTTCAACAACTCTGGTAAACTCCAATCTACTGAACAATCTGGGAAGATACACTATAGGATAAATAAAGAAATTGTTTAATACTCATTTCTGTAATACACGAATACAATTTATTTGAATAATTTATTTATATTTGCTAATTAGTATTATATATTAAGAGTTTAGAACTATTATTCGTGATATAATCTCTAAGATAATATCAACCTATACTTCTTCATAAAAAAAATACTAATGATATTCAATTATTTAACTATTTATAACTAAATTGTTTTAGTTGTGTGAACATATATATGTTAACGTTAAAGTATGGAATTCAGTAAGTCTATAAAAAACTAATAATTTGAAAAACCCTTGATTTATAATATACATATATTGTATATATATAAATTAACTCTTGTGATTAGGATTGGGATACATAAAACGATAACGCAACAAATATTGTGTGTTACTTACTCCAGTCTCGGTTATACGCGATGGCTTAAATTATGTAAATTAGCAAAAACCCAATTGGTATTCTATAAATTAACTAGTAAAACCGTGTAATTTATATATTAACGAGCATATTATAAATTTTATAGAATAACTAGTTATTTAATAAAATAACGTGTTACATAAATTACCGCTAACATATATATATAAATAAATAAATCTATTAACTTTATTTTGTATTATTTAGTAAAAAAAAAACACTAGAAAATCAATTATTATAAAATTTAAAATTTGTTACATAAAAACATTATTAATTTTGTAAAAAATACATATTTTTGATTTTTAAAGCTTAACTACAGTGGTAGAATACAATTGAGTATTTATGATAATTATAATAAAGTTTATAATTGTAAAATAAATAAAGTGCAAATGATTATTTATGTAAATACTTACTTGTGTATCTCAAGAAATGAATCAAACCGTAAATTGTACACATACGACGACCAGGAAATTTCTTGGAAATCTACAAAACACAATTTTAAATTTGATGTTAATAAAAAAAAAAAAATTAAAGAGTTAAAACTGTTCAATATTATACAAAAATGGTTTTTTAAATTGCATTATTGTATACAACAATTTATGTTAAAATTTAGAATTTCAGTACAGATAACATAATAACATATGCGTTTCTTTATTATTGAAATTATAGGCAACAATAATATTATTTTCAAAAATGTTTCTATATAAACCCCTCGGATTACACAACTTTTATAATTAATACTAGCCATGGAAAACTGAACAAAATTAAAAGTTTAATAATAAAATAAAATATCTTTATAAATAATTACTTCTTCATGTTGTAATTGTTCGATACGACGTAGACACCATATGGGTAAAACTTCATCAAAAGCCACAAGTAGGAAATGAAACATGTCTACGTTACTGAAATTAAAAATTAAAACAAAATATGATTATCAATAATAAAACATTAAAAAATTATGGGAAGTTATTAAGTAGGACTAATCTATTCTAAAAAACATAAAACAAATTCAACTCTAAAAAATTCATCCTATATTTGACTTATCAATTTATTCGAATAAATAATTTTCTATAATATTTAAGTAATTTATAATATGTTTATATTTATCTACGTAATAGATTTCTATAAATAAGTAGATGTTAAAGAGTGTAAAATACAATTGAGTGTAAAAACTGAAATTATTTATAAATTTTATATTGTCATGTTAATTTTGGATATCATAATACTTAATAATAATATTAAGTTGATTATAATATTTAAAATAATACATTGAAGACAGGAAAATTTAAACTTTATTACAATATTATTAGGTGTATGTCTAAATTTATGTTATAAATATTCATTATTATTATTATTATTTTACTTACGCCTTTCTCTCTTTAACATATTCATCCAAAATATCGTGAATTGAAATTTTAGCTGGTAAAATGGACATCTGTAATTACAAAATGAAAACAATTATGTATACATGTTACATGCTATACGCGCACACAATTCAAAATATAAAAACTAACGTAGCAATTTCTAATCAAATGTTCGTCCAAATTAATGGCGTCATATGCTGCTTCTGGCAAATTTAAACCATAATCCTGGCACGATTTGCGTATACTTTGATTAGCATCCTGAAAAAAAAAAACAATTTATCGATTAATATTAGGCATTTAGGTAAGTGTATTATAATTATATATCTACTCATTTTTTTCTAGTCACTGCATTGAGAAGATAATTTTTTTTCCCTAATGGTTTTCGTAGTAATCGAAAAACAACATGTTAGAAAAACGAAGATGTTTACGCAACAACGGTTGCTGTATTTTAGATTTTTCGATTTGTTTTGTAATTCAATTAAAAATAATCATAAAAAGCTAACATTTTCATCAAATAATTAATCTTTTCTTGATGGGGTACAATTTTATAAACATTTTGGCTTCATTTCGATAATTGATACATTTATAAGGTGAACCAAATTTGCGATTAACTGAAAGTTATTTAATTTCGCTCGAGTATTGTCATTTTTTCAATAGATATTTCAGATTTTCGTTCATACAAACAAATATAGATATATTATTTTCATGGCATTTAAATTTTGTATTTTATTTTAAAAGTTAAAAGTCGATTGGAAAGTAGGAAAATTGAAAATTTTACCGTGGATTAATTATTTTTGAGGACATACGAAACAAAAGCAAAATGTAGGTATAAAACTAAGCATTTTTCGGTATTTTAGAATTTTTTTCCCCCAAAACCAAAATGTCGACTTAACGCAATACAGATAAAATTAGACTGATGCAAATTTCCAAGTTATACCCAAGTTCCCCTAAATGACAGCACTCCCAATACCAAATCCAATAATTATAATAACATAATTTTAAAAATATAATAAATAATTTATCAACTTACAATATACCCACGTACTAGAACTGTTCGTTCTGGACGATCGTTGTCACCTGGTTGTTTCTTCTTCGGAATAACATCGACTATAGCCTGCGATGCGGCTATAGCTGCTTCTCTCGGTATAACTACGCACACTAAATTTCATGAAGACAAAACAAAATATTAGCTTATATAACATTACATACAGTGGCATGCGCAGAAATTTTCAACAGAAGAGGATTTAGTAAACAATAATCATAATTCATCTAATTACAATCCGGTTTTGAAGAAAACCAATTTTTGTTCAATAAATGAAGTTTTATCTTTTATAAGGTAGTTAAAATATGATGAAATATGTATATATTTCAAGACAAATTATTGAATAAATACCCAGTTATATATTGGCCAATGGTCGATGGGGGGAGGGAAACATAACCCCCAAACCCCCAACTCGCGCCATTGGTTATATGATTAAATAATACAGTGTGGTCTAAAGCTCGGGGTTCACGATGGTTTTTGTGTGGCTTACCTATTTTACTGGTAATTTTGAAAAATATTTTATTTTTTTTATTTTTAAACAACATTCAAAAATAATTGATTTATGAGTACAAAAAAAATATCCTAGTGTCGTGGCTTTAATTGGCTTTAAATATCTCTTGAGTTAATAAAGATAAATCAAATTCTATTTTTTATATTAATTGCATAAAATGGCCATCTTAAAATTCTTAAAAAATTATAAAACAAAAAGTTATATTTTTAAGTTTTTCACGAAAATATAAAAAATTAATTAAAATGTAAATAATTGTAGTCCTTATCCCTATGACTAACATAAAAAAAAATATAATTTATTATCTCTAGAAATATTACAATGGATAGGAATATCTTCGTGGGACAACCTGTATATATATATATATATATATTAAAAACAATTAATACATGTATTAGTTGTTTTTAATATTATGAAAATTTAAAAATCGGTAGCAATAAAAAGTCGGAGGACCACACCGAGATACGTCATAACAAATTATCACTTACGTGGACGTCTACCAGTCGTAGATGTACTGGCGGTCGGCTGTTCATCGTCAGAATTCTCTATTGAAGTATTCGCCGATTCGTCAACATCCGTAAGCTTATCTTGGTAATCCGGAGATGCTTCCCTAGATTCTTCCTCAAGCGCTCTATCAGATGCTTCCCCAGACACTTCCTCAGATGCTTCTCCGGACGATTCTCCTGATGCTTCCCCGGACGCTTCCCCAGATGCTTCCCCAGATGCTTCCCCAGATGAATCTCTAGACGCGCTATCGCCATTCCCGATCATATTAATAAGAACTGGTAACAAATTGGCCGCAGCAGCAGCTTCGGCCTCCCTGTAATCGGTAGTGTCCACTACACTATCGTCACAAAACGTTTCGTCAAAATATTCGTCAATGCCGACTTCGCCGATAGTCACGGTAGACCCGGTTTCGTCATCGCTGTAGATACCGACTTTTGATATGTCGATCAGATTTGTTTTTCCCACATTAGAAACGGTTGGTTCCGAAGGTTCCACAGCCATTGCAGTTCCTTCTATTTCTTCCATTTCTACGTCGTTTGGATGGTCAGACATTTTAACCTGAAATATATATAATTATTATAATAACACCGGTAACATCAAAACATAAAACGCAAAATACGAAAATTAATAAATATTTGTTACGGTGCACAAATACGATGTTAAAACATGAATGTCAATTCTATAAATATATGAAAAAACAATAAGTACCCATTATTTAAAAAAAAAAAAAAAACAAAAATACATATAAGTATTCCAAATTGTTGATGAAATATAACACAAAAGTACCTGTTTGTTTTGAACAACAAACTTAACGATTAACAATAAAGCACACAAACCACTTATGAAATATTGTATGTTTATAAAATGTATCGAAGCATCGTTTAAATACTTGGGCATAACGAAATCGTGTAAATCGGATTGTATATTTGTATCGATAAATGATGTGGAGTACCTATACCTAGGCCATGCCTATTTATCTACAACACCGTATATTTCATAACACATCATTACATTACATTACCTAACATTGCATTAGAGTATAGGTACTTAAAGTTTGCCAAATTTAAATGAAATGCCAAACATTAAAATACGCAGTGCGGATTGGGCGCCGAATATATATTTTTTTTTCTTTATCTAACGCACTATTCAACATAGCAACATTATGTAGACTAATTTTCAATCAATCAGATCGATGTAGCGAAGCAATTCTAAAAACAGATTTGTATTCAGCGTGAAATATAAATGACATCGGGCAGGCCATTTTTTTAAATTTAATTTTAGTTTTTTTTTTTTCATATAAATTTTCAACCCAAATTTTAAAAATTAAGCTGTAGCGAAAAATCGAAATATAGAACATTTCACACTGAATAGTTGAATGTAAACCTACTGTAGGAATTCTTAAAGTTTCATTACATATTATATCGGACTGATTAAAGAAAACATTTTATAAATATTGTTATACTGCGTAAATGTGTGTAGGTTGTGTGTTGAAAGATATAAAAGAAATAAAATACCAGTATACAAATCCTTGTATTTTAGACCCGGAGTGAAGCAAGGAATATATCGTATTATAATGATGTTTATTTTATTTTTTTTACGAAATTTCTACCAGAAACCTTTTTCCAATGTATCAAATGTAGCAATTTTTCTGACAATACATATAATATAAATGATTATATTATATTAGAAATATTAATTCATAAATACTTAATAACTGATATTATTATAAATTACAGTACAAATATTATTTAACAAAATGAAAATATTTTTGAATCAATATAGTTTTGAATAGCTATTTGAAATTGTCGAGTTTTTTTATTTTTTCTTTTATATGGATAACAATTTTACAATTCCTTAAAATTTGTCTAGAACAGGAACAATTGAAATTTATTTTTAAATAAAATATATCTTTATCTAACTAACTAAAACTATTTAAATATAATATGTAAAAACAGTTATAATTTAATTATTATTTTTTTTTTAAAATAAATATAGTATATAGCCTGCGCTATAATATATTGCATTAGTCGGTTAATCGATACAATATAATACATGGTATACAATGTATGCTATACATGAAATATACGATCGATAATATCGATGTTTCAAATAATAAAAAATCGACTTATCGAATAATTTATAGTATTGGTACTATCGATTTATCGGGTATTTCAATTGTATTGATACTTGATTAAGGGTTTGGGAGTTCAACCCACTTTTTAAATATTATTTTCAAAATAAATGCTAATTATGTTTGTAATAACAATATTAGATGATTTAATTTAAAACCTCTCTTGAACATTTAGTATCTATATAAACAGCCGACTGTTGAAGGTCAAAAGGTCATAAGGGATCCCTTTCCCCTTCTCCCGTTTGACCACCCAAGTTATATATATATATGCTCAAAGCACAAATAACGGGGTGGTTGGGAGGACTAAGCCCGCCCCCCTTAAAAAAAAATATGTTTATTGGTAACCAAAGAGGTTTTTTCGCTCAATACATGTTTGTTTTGCTCAAAAGTATTATTTTTTTATTTTTACTCGTCAAACTATGTGTACTTCTGCAAAATAGCACTCTCCCAGAGTTAAAAACGTTATTTGTTCGCTTAAATATACCTACCAATTAAACGAACCAATGTATAATATTATTACTAAAGTTGTGAATTTGTAATAAATGCATTTTTTTTTTCAATGTATTGCAAGTATAATACAGTTGCTTTCTTAATACCTATACCAAGTCCGAATTATGTAACAACGAATCGTTTAAAATATTTTAAAGTAGTTATAAAGGTTTATTGGTAAATACATTTAATTCACAACCCTGTGTATTAATTAATAATGACTAATTGTTGAATGTCAATAGGCTGTAGGTAATACACATAATAATAATATTATACTAATGCTCTTAATACATAAATATTATTTAAGTATTTATAATCAAATAAATATTATATTTACAAATCATTACTCACGTTCAGAGGATGTATTCGCGTTTTGTATTAGCAATGGAATGGATAGTAAGTTCACTGCACTACGTGTTGGGTGGTGGATGTGAAGAGGACAACGAGTGAAGTCGATCGATAAACGTATGAATAATAGTTACATAAACTACCGCGACGACTGCAACGCTGTAGGTATAAGCTGTTGTAACTCGGAGCAGCGACTACGGCAATTGATAACCTCTTCGACGGGCTTTGGGGACAGGAATAACAAAACTTGCAAAGCTGGTGGCAGCCGAGCAGCGGTGGCCCGGTGGTGTCGCCTCGGTGCTGGCGGCAGGAAAATTACGGGAGCTGAGCGGACAAATGAGAACGCGCGATAGAAATCCGCGGCCGGGCGGAGCGAGACGTTAGGCGGAGGTGTATTCGCCGGCGATGGGCCGGCTGGGGTGGTGGACGGAGGAAAACGACGACGTCCGTCGCTACGCTGTTGTGGCCTTGTGCTGGTGAACGACGAGCGGTGCGCGCGGAGCTACGCCCGGGCTGCAGCGAGCGGGTGCCGAAAACGCGAAGGGTATGCGGCGGGCGCCGACCCGGATGAAAGGGGGAGAAATGAAGCGAAGTTTCCTGCAAACTAAATTTATCGCCGCCGGGTTATTAAACATGTATAGATCGGCGCGTGTCCTTTTCGTCCCACCCACCTGCAGCTTATAGCCACGAAAAGGTCGAATATACTGCTGCGCCACCGCCGTCGACCCGGCGCGGCCTCGCGGGCGTACCCTTTCACAACCCCGTGTGACCAGCCGGGACGCGGTGAACGTATAATAATAACTGCTCACCGTATATTATTATAGAAAAAAAAAATCGCACGCAACGATTATAATAAATTGTTAACAACTGTTTTATACCAAATTATCGTTTTGACGCAAGTGTTTACAATCATATTGTTGTTATTTGTTAATCAGAATATTATTGTGAAAATAAGATAAAGATACAGACAAAGGCATAAAGATACCTAACGGCTAATGACCTAATGTTTAACATACCTACCACATTTACCGCGGTTATTGCACATATATATGTTTCTAATTAACATTTGTGTTAACACCGTGTAAATGTGACCGTTCTTTCTTTTCGCGGGTTAGATAATATGACAGGTGATCCATTTAAGTGGGTACATTATTTCAGAAAGTGTTAACTTTTATCCGAAATTTGTCTTCTAGAACATTTAAGACACAAGCTGCTCTACAATTTTATACTTATGTTATTTTTTGTCACCTTTATTTTTAGGGGTAAAACCACTACCTACTTTTAATTTTCAAATGGCAACCTATGTTAAATAGTCCATAAATAGATGGGCTTGGCAGAAATCAAAAATTTCAACATTAAAATTTATTTCACCTAATACCCCATCTATTTATGGACTATTTAACATAGGTTGCCATTTGAAAATTAAAAGTAGGTAGTGGTTTTACCCCTAAAAATAAAGGTGACAAAAAATAACATAAGTATAAAATTGTAGAGCAGCTTGTGTCTTAAATGTTCTAGAAGACAAATTTCGGATAAAAGTTAATACTTTCCGAGATAATGAGTGTACCCACTTAAACGAATTGCCCGGTAGGACTTAATTGAAAAAAATAAACAGCAGTCGAGGAAATGGTTTATCGTCACGTACAGATATAAATTAAATAACCTTATGTATCCTACCTATGTACCTACTATGCATAAATATATGTATATATTTGATCGTCGTAGGTAAGAAAATAAAGATAGAAAGCGAGAATTGTTTATAATATTATATGCTTAGGTATAATTTGCAGGCCACAGAGTGATTTGTATACTATGGTCCAGCGATTTTCCAGGACGATTTTAGGCCTATCTATCAGACTATTTTGAAATATTTTCCTCTACTCCTTGTACCTTGAATAATAAAAACAATGCCTTTTAATATATCTAATACATTATAATATTAAACCTAGACTCAGTAAAAATATAAATAAATTAGTGTAACATTTGATTTTCAAATGGCAATCGTCCCTTTTTAATACATGTCTGAAAAGAAAATATTTTTATCTAAATAACATTTTAATGTGCAATAAACTATACTATTAGATTTATGTTAGTTATGTACCTATACCGGTTTAAGATATTTGTGATGGTATGTAGAATTGACTCACCAGTATTCGGTATATGTTGACATATTGGATTTTTTGGTATTTTTCGGTAAATACCCTCTTTTTGATAAATATATTGTAAATTCACTATAGACTCTATACGATAAACACCTTTTATTAAAGGGGGATTCAAAATATTCAAATTGATATCGTATCTAGTTTACTATATGATATATATATATATATATACTTTATAGACACATAGTGTATAGCACGGGCCAAGTTATACTGGACACGACAAGGTTGAAGGGTGAGGGCTTGTCCGTGAATATTATGGAACAGGCGGAGTATGTTATTTATTTAATGAGGATTTATTTTTTTCTATTATAAAATGAAATGTTCATACTAATATAGTAATATTATATGATAATATAATATGACTTATAATTCAGTGTTGATTCCTTCATTCTTCATATTATGTTATTATATTCATTGGTTATTTTTAACATTATCTTCCCTGTAGTTATTAGTTTGTCAGTAACTACTGAACTCCAAAACTAAAGATGTTAATGCGCTATTTGACCAGCTTCGTGAACCATATAAACTATGAACCATGTGGTTATCAAATTACCATAAAACAACGAATAGTTGAAAATATTCAACTATTTTTTCCTGTGATTAAGTGCTTAATAATTAATAAATATGGTTATTAATGACTTACGAAATTGTTTTACCTAAACAATTGTAATTTATTTGTGAATAATTAGAAAATTCTGTATAAGGAGCACACGGTTTACAGGAAATACAGAGTCGAATAACGCCTATATCGGTTTGTAAATAATTACCAGAATAGCGGTAAATCATATACCTACCGAAAATACTGTCAGTACTAGTTTAGGATTTAGACCGGAAGTGAAGATAAGGGTAATAACTGAATATTGATCATACTAATGTGATGGTAATAGAATAATAGTGATAAAAATATTATTCTGCATAATATAATAATAATATGCAGAGGTGTAAGTATTTATTATAATAAGTACTGTTTATGGGACCGATTCTCACTATCAATTATTATAGTATAAAATGAGTGAAATAACAGTTGAAAAAAGACGGACATCCTTCGCACGTGAGTATAGCCACTGTTGTAGGTAGGATGTTGGGAAGGTATAGGGTACAGACAGGAATTTATATATATCTCTAAGCAACGATAAACTATTGCTAACGAAAAAACAATTCTGAGTCGAGTTCAGTTGATATCGTTGCTTTGTCAACAATATATATATATATATGTGATATGGTCAAATAATAACATATGTATTAAACATTTTCTTTAATAATATTGTTTAATATTGTACCTATTTTCTAGTTCTCCCGTTTTTCCTCCGGTTTTTCCAATTCTTCCAATATATTGAGAAAACTACTGAGAAAATCAAAATATTACCTCCTTAAAGTACTACCCCAGTCAGATTTCCTTTCCGGAAAAGTGCTATACTTATAGACCGGAGCAATATTTCTGGTAGAAAAGTTGTTCACAGATTTAAAAAAAAAAAAAAACAAACATCATAATAAAACCATAAGCATCCACTCTTAATCTAGAATAATGAATATTAAATTGAAAAATATTGAGAGTTTAGCTCCCCCTCCCTTTACATACGCCCCCTGATAATATGCTGTTGAATTAATACTACTGTAATTTTATTATTGTATAGGTAACTATATAATATAATGTTATAATGTTGTATTTGCATTAATTTCCTTTTATATTATTTTTAGTATACACACCATACAAATATTTGCCGGGTTTTCTTTTTTCCGTCAGAGTATATTTTCTATAAAGAGAAAAATAATATACAAGCGCCGAGACTATAAACGCACGCGCAGTACTTACGTGACCTGTTAACTTAAATGCTGCAAGAGGGTGGTAAACATTGATCACCATCGAGGTCGTCGTTCCGCTGAAAGTATATGATTGTGTGTGTGTGTGTGTTTATTTGTGTAAGTGTATTATTTCGAAGTACCAACAGAACGACGAACTGCGTCATCACTGCAATACACCCGTACTTAAACATTTTCTTAATACATTTGTAGATATTTGTATATATTTTTTGAAATAGATGCACGATAATTATTTAATTTATGGAATAATTTCACTGGTAAAGGAATAGGTAACTGGGCAAGATTCAAAACTTATTTGGGTAACGTTTGATATATCCGCTCGTAGAAATTTTTAAAGAAAAGTGGAGTGGACACGCAATGGATATTAACTAAAAATTTTCTGAACGCACTAAACACACTTGGGTTTTTTATGAAAAGATCACAATATTATCGAAAAACACACATTGAGTTTTTTTAGATCGTAAAATATTGCCAAACAAGAAAGCTATAGGTAGTTTATAAAATTATGAAATAATATGGTTGTAACGATTTTGTTGGACAATATTATAGAAATAAGTGACGTAGTGTCCTCGAAAACATTATTCTCTTAAAAAATATTGTGTATTAAAGTGTAATTTAAATACAATTAACACAATTTTAATTCTAAGTTATTGGGAATTTTGTTTCGGTGCTCGATATTTGGTTACGTTAAGGTTACGTAGTTTTTATTTTATAGGTATTCTGAGAATATAATGGTTTCATTAAATACAAATACTGGACATTTTTGTTAGAGGTTCATTATAAGTTTAACTTAGTAGTCAAAGAAAAAAAGAGCCACTGTTATAGGTGAGAAGTTGGGAAGGCCCGATACAAAAAGTTTACGATTAACCATATAACCATATATGTTTTAATTGGTCGTAATATTTACGATTTTTGACAAAATGTAATATTAAAATTCTCACAAAAAAAAAAATATTACATTGAACTCAATTTATTATTTTTTTTTTTTTTTTGCCACAAAGTACAACTTATAATGAACCTCTTGTCAAATGTTTAAGCATTTAGACTAAAATGTTTTTAACATTTTACCACATATAGAAAAATGAACTAAGAACAACTTAGAACAATATTAATGCAATCAACTATAGATATTGAATTATTTCCTAAGAAAAGTATTTTTTAGAGTATAATTGTATTTTGATTTTTGATAGAAACTGTTTGATGAATATTTGAAAAACACGATACAACGATACCCAGTAAAAAGATTCAAAATGAATATATCTATTTATTTATTACTGAATTTTTAAATAGTATTATGGATATCATCAAATATTCTTAAAACTACAAAATCACTAAATATGCAAAAAATGCACTAAAACACTTTGAATATGTTTTTCGTTGTTCCAGTTTCTAGCTTAGCAATAAATACCCAAAAAAACATGTAAATGCATTTTCCGAGCCCTAATGACCGGTTTGTTTTTTTTGTTCGTCAACCTTTTTTAATCTAATTTAAGTTAAGCCACTGCATATACTCACTTAAAAATGTTCTATTATATAACTGCTTAGAATTACAAGACGAATTTCGTTCGATGCTATAAAATAATAATAAAATAATAAATTATTACCAAAATATTATCAGATAAAATATTTTCGGTTTTCTCTATCTCATTCTCGTTTATATTATTCGTTATATTATTATTTTAGCGATAAAAATATCCAACAAAATAAAACTGGTGGCAATTCTGTTTGGTACTTACTCTTTTTACCCCGATGTACCTAACGCATGCGCGTAATGTATTTTTACGGGGAATTATATATATAGACAGACAAAATCGATAAAGCGAACCACCCCACGTGGCTATTGCGGTGTTCAAGTTTACTTTCATGCGTAATTGTAAAAATGTCTAAAATGAAAATAAATACGAACATAGTTATGTGGTTCTATTTACGGGAATTAATTACTAAAAGGCTAATGTTTTAAGATAAACAATTAACAATTATACTGTGGTAGGTAGATAAAGATTTATTAGAATACAAATATTATAATATATTACTTAATATTTAACTCAAGAATATATAAAATTAAGGTGGCTGGTGGTGTAACCAAGATTTTTTTAACGTGGAATGTTATGAACATGTCTATCACATTTTTACAGAACTACATATATATATAAAAATATGGACGGGAGAAGCCACTGTTGTAGATAATTTTATGTATACCTATAAACATCGATAAACCATTACTTAAGTTGATAGTGATGAAATGTTAACAATATATATATGCCATTTTATAGTAAAATAATTAAATAGGCTTTATATATTTTCTTTAATAATATTTGTTTAATGTTACGAATTTTCCCAGTTTTCCTACGTTTTTTCCAGTTTTTCACATTTGCTAGGAAAAATCTTGAGAAAATCGAAAAATGAACTCTTTGATGTACCTCCCTAATGAAATTTCCTTTTCGAATCATCACTATCGTTAAAAGTTGGAGCTAAATTGCTGGTAGAAAAATTGTGCACAGAAAAAAACAAGGCTATAATATATTTTAACTAATACCTACATTTCGTACATTTTCCCGTTTTTTTTTCCGGTTTTTCAAATTTGATGAGAAAATTCTTGAAAAAATTCAAAAAATGACTTCCGTAAAATACTCCCTCACGCCGATTTTCTTTTAGAAAAGATGCTACTCTAAAAAATCTGAGTAAGTTTTCTGATAGAAAAGTGGCGCACAGATAATAAAAAAATAAATAAACATCTTTGTAAAACTATAAGCTTCTTCGCTCCACTCAGAATCTAAATTTTATTTTGCCTTTTTGAAAATCAAAAAAAAATTTTAAAATTCCCTATACAATTGTAGAGACTTGCGGGACAAGTGTCCTTAATACTCTCTTTAAATCCGGCACTGAGTAACAGATTATTTTTCTAATATGTCACTAGCTTTAACAGTTATAGTCCTTTATTTTAGTGAATATTTTGTTCCTTTATCAGTTGTGAAAATATCTAGAATATCTTTTATCATCGTCCAAAATTATTTTCCTTATTAACTCAGATATTACCCTAAATAAGTATAATCTAATGTAAATTTAATAAAACTATGGATATTAACACATAGAGTAGTATGCTAGTATTCTTTTGTAATCACTACCCTTAGACAAATATTACACATTAATATCAATTGATATACCTGCTTACTTATTATCTCGAATTAAAATATACTAGACACCCAATGATACATGGTAAGGCGCTCCTAAACTGAATTTCCAAATTTAAAGGTATACTAGCGCAGTTATCCTAGGGAATTAAATGTATACCAATAATGAATTGACTTTTAAAATATATATATATATATACTATAAAATATGTTAATATAATGTACCTAATGATTTTAGATTTTGAGCGGAGTGAGGCATATATTGGTTTTACAATGATAATTTTTTTTTATGTGACCAACTTTTCTACCAGAAATTTTGCTCTGATTTTCAAGTGTAGCACTTTTTCTGGAAGAAAATCTGACCCGTGTAAGAAGTCATTTTTTTGATTGTCCTAGTGTAATAATTTATGAAATGTATTATTTTCAAATCAAAAATAATACAGCCGTTCAAAATATGCACAACCGAACTCCGCTCAAAATCATTTATCGTTTTCAATAATTAATCGTTACTTACATATGTACATTAAAATTATTTCCATCTGTATTATACCTTTCCAACTTCCCACCTACAATAGTAGCTGCAACCTTCCTCATTATCCTAGGACAACTTCATTTAAATGATAATTTTAAAGCATTTAAGCATTTGCTCACTAATTTAATCTTCAATATAATGGTTAATAGATACTATACTAAATATTTTACCATGATAAAATTGGTTGAAAAAATGGTAGGTAAGTATTAAATAGTAATAAAAAAAAGCCGGGCAACTTTGGATGATGGGTAGGCCACTGTTGAGAATTAAAAGTTAGAAAGTATGATATAAAAGGGAATTTAATGTATATCTGTAAGCAACGATTAACCATTGCTAACGAAAACACGATTCTGAGCGGAATTAAGTTGATAGTATTGTTTTGTCAACATTATATGTCATATTACAGTAAAATAATTACGTAAACATTAAATGTTTCCTTTAAATGATATTTTTTTTTAATAAAATAATAAAGTAAAAACAAAATTATTAACTTTCTAAACATGAAACAGTACATTTTTTAAAAATTAAACGTATACATAGTACTAAATTTAATACAAACGAATTACAAGAAATTATTCAATCATTAAATGTAATTATTAATCAAAACTATTTTCAGTATAATAATAAATTAAATTCTCGAAAAGATGAATTAGTTATGGGTGGTCCTTTAAGTGCTCTTATCTGAAATTTACATGCAAAATTATAAAACCAATAGTATTATTAACAACAAAATATACAGTCCATATATAAAAGCATATTATTGATATGTTCATTTTATTTAGAGGTTTAAATAGACAAGCAGAAATTTAGTTAACTACTTAAACAAAATAAACAAAAACATTAAATTTACACTCAAAATACAAATTAATAGTAAATGAAATTTTTTAGATCTTACAGTTTTCATAACAAACAATACATTTGGTTTTAGTATTTACAGGAAACCTACGTAACTTGGTGATATAATACCATATTGATGATTTTAATCATCCTTATTCTCAAAAAATATAATTTTTCAATTCAATATTCTCTAGGCTTAAATGTTTTCCATTAAATAAAAATAATTATCAATACGAGCTCAATATTATCTATAATATAGCCCATAGAAATAATTTCAATTTAAATACTATTAAAAAAATTCATAAACATATTAAAGAAAGAATAATACACAGCTCACCAAATAATGTTGTCAACTATTGAAGTATGAAGTATCAAAATAATATGTCTAACGAATTCACTAAAATGCTGAACAATAATACAAATAATGTAAAACTCAATTTTAAGAATAATAATTATTTAATCAAACATATAAACAATAGAACTAAAAGCTTCACAAAAAATCCCCCTTTTTGAAAATGTTAGTTTACATAAACTTAAATGTAACTGTGATAATTTTTTTATATAAGTAAGACAAATAGAAATTTTAAAATAAGATATAAAGAACACATTTCTGAAATAAAATTAAAAAAGACTACCCCTAATTCAAATTTCGCTAAACGTGTTTTAGAAAATAACTATAATATAAGTTTTGATATTAATACAGACTTAGAAATACTAATTCCAAAATAACATTTAACATTAATTTAGTTTTAGAAGAATTACACTTACACAATGAAATAAAGAAAAATAATTTTAATAGTATTTTAAATGTGCAAACCAATTTTTAAAATAATAATCTTATCTCAATACATTTTAGATAATAAATAATTATCAAATAATTTAAATTTTTTAACATATCTATGTCTAATAAAAACCCATTTTAAATAATCTCTCCTATTAAAATAAATTATTTCTATGTAAAACGGCCAATTTGTATAATTTTTTTCTTTGTATTCCTTCATTTAATTTTTTATACTCAGTCAAGTTTTACATTTTGACTGTGATATGCCTGATGAATTTTTAATTCGAAACCGGTCGTATAATACATTTATCATAATACTCAAGGCAACGTATTCATTCTTTTATTTAATATTTTTTATACTTATATATACAATTTTTTATTTATACATTTATTTACTATAAATATGGGATTACTATTGTACCTATTTTTCCTTTTTTTTACGGTTTACCAATGTTTTTCTAATTTTTTAGGAAATTCCCTGGGAAAATTGAAAAATAACCACTTTAAAGTACCTTCCCAGTCAGATTTCTTTTTAAAAAAAGTGCTATACTTGTAAATCGGACAAAGATTCCCTATAGAAAAGTTGTTCAGAGATAAAAAATAAAATAAACATCATTGGAAAACTTTCAATACATTCCTCGCCCGGCTCAGAATACAAAATAGTTTCCATTTACTAATCCACGATCTCCATTCACCTCCCATATTGATAGATTATATACTAACCCAGTTATCTTCAATAATATCATTGATTATAAAATTTTATTTATAATGAATGATAATTTTCATAATGCATCAAATAATTTAATCTTATCTTCAATTTCTCTACAGGCCACGGCATAGATGCTTCCCCCTCATGTATGCCATCATGAGTAATCTTCCGGATAAGGGGGGATATATCAGCCTCATGGACTTTTTAGTATCAACAAGTAAGATGCTAAAACCCCATAACAAAAGTTTAAGTTCAATTAATTAGTTAATTATCGTTAGTACTACGTTAATTAACTACTTTGACCATAAAGTATACTGTATGACTTCGAATAAATAATAAACATTTTATGATGGTAGTTTTACTTAAATACATTCTATAATAACAATTATTACGTGATATGAGTTGACATTGTTTTTAGATTTGCTATTAAAAATATAAGGAATTCAATAACTGAAGTAAGTGGTAAAATAATGAATATAATGGTATTAG